CTTTGAAGCTTTATTTCTATTGTATTAGACGGATAAACACAGAAGATTTTCACAAACATGAAAGGCATTCACCTTGTAATGTTTTGGGGCTTATTAGTCTCACCAATTTGCATTGTTTTGTTCACATAAAGGATCAAAATGCCCTTTTGCTTGTTTTCGCATCCCGCACGCCTATCTTTGTGCTGAGCAGCTACGGATGCCCTGCACTGCTGCTGCCCCTCTGCCTACTGACTCACTGCTGTCTGTCTGCAGCCTGAATCCTGCCTTCAGACACCCACCAGAAGAACCCACTATTTTCACCACTGCAGAATGTTTACTCTCCTCTTGGAAATGCTGATTTATTTCAGTGTTGTCTGTGCAAAACGTGGGAAGGCGTTAAAGCTCGTAAGGAGTTTAATTTTTAGCATACCAAATAATTCATTTAAAATCTTAAATGAGTTCATGCTGAGAAGAAAACCCTCAGAAGTCGGAGCATTGGCAAAACAAAGCTCAGAACCAAATCTAATGATTATTTGACTAACCAGCCCTTCATTAGCTTATTTCTCTAATGAATTATTGAGCTGTACTGCGTAGACATTTCAGAATACATTGAAAAAGCACAATCCTGGCCTTAGACTGTGGAAATATAACAGTAAGAGTGATATAATAATAATCATAAGCACACAGAACGCTGCATAAACACTAATTAATCCTCAGCGCCCCTGAGCAGCAAAGCACAGGATGCTCAGCACATGTAGCAAATTGAGGTAAATAGTATAATTAACAGCAAATAAAAGATGCTCTTATTCCAACCACAGCTCACAGTCCTTGTGGCTGCTCTCCTCTACGTTCACCTGCAATGGACAAATTAGAACTGGTCCCCAACCAAGTTTGGAATAGGAGCACTGAGTAAAAACAGCAGAGAGCAATATTAGAAAAGGGAATGGTTCTTTAAATCAGCAAAGCTAACAGCTGAGGGAAGTTATCTAAGTGATTGTAGAAGCTGCCTTGTGAATGGCAGCGATGCTGTCAGCAGCATTTCCTACCTTGGGGGCTCTCCTGGCTACTCTCAGCCCATGTGGTGCTGCTGCTGTGGACCCCAAGGCACTGGGGTAGGAATGTGCCATGGAGACAGAGCAGGACACCAGGACCTGTGCTTTTTTGGCACACTTTAGGGAGAGGGAATGGTTTTGCTCTCTGTCAGTCCCACCCTTCACACACACACTGTGGTTTCTAATAGCTGTCATAGCTCTGAGCATCCAGCAATGGGTGTTATTTTTAGAGAAGCCTTCATTTTATCAAATTCTCTTCCAGTGTAGGTGAGCAGTCCTTGCACAAAGGTGGATGCAGATGAGGAAAGGAGTATTGCATCATGATTGTGCCTCCTGGCAGGACTGGGTGAGATAGGAGCACCTGGCTCCCTGCTATGCCCACGTGGAGAGAGCTGAAGGAGCTGTGTGGACAGGGAGAGAAGGTCTAAGAAAAGAGTAAACTGGAGGTGAAAGGCTCAAAGGTTGAGCACAATGTTCAAGTCAAAGTTCTGTTACTGCCACAGTGTGGGTCTATTAATAAAAGCCTGAACGGCAGAGTGCTGGGCAGCCTGTCCATTCAACAACTACTGCTGCAAGAGTTTTTGATGCAGGCAGGTTGTACCTTGAAGTCAGTATCCTTTTCCACACCATATCCTACTCCATGCCCACTGATGTGTTGACAGTCAGACTTGATGATCTTACTGGTCTTTTCCAGCCTTAATGGTTCTAGGATTCTGTGTTTGTCTCTCGTGTAAGAAGAGCTTTTTTTTTCTTCCATGGTGTGACACAATTTGATAAAATGCTGCTGTTCATTTGCACAGCTGTCCTTTTTATGAATGTCTCCAGAAAACAAGATGAGTTTGCAACAATTCTCAGCAGTTCAGTGACAAGTCAGATGGCCAAGAAGTCACTTATGGTGTGGTTCAACAGGAATTAAAGGAAAGAGTGAAATCTGGTGAGTTGTTTCTGCCTTTTACCCCTTGTGGTTGAAGAGCAAAGCTCAGGGAAACGAATCTTAAATGTTCTGGCATTTAGACCAGTAAAAAGAGCCTGGCAACAGTTATCATGTAAGTAACAAGATTTTAAAGCAAATACTGTAGATGTTAATAGTTCTGAAAAACGCTGTTACATCTGCTTCTCTTGTAGCCTTCATAACAGGGATTGAGACCTCCTGCAGCCTTTCCCAAGTGCTTACAGAGCCTTCTCAGCCTCCTTGGAATTGCTGCTTCTGAAACAGCTTTTCTTTTTGATACTGCAAGACTTAGTTTGGGCTCAAAAGTTGTTTCACAGAGAGCTGTTCCCAGACTCCACTTTCTTTTTGTCCCCCAAGTGCACTTCAGCTGGTAGGAGCATGCTTTGATGTGCAGGTTTCACAGCTGTGATTTCTCATTTACCTTCATGCAGCAGGTGTGTGTGCTGCTACGGGCTGGTAAGGCAAGGACTTTGGCAGCTCTCTGAGGATGATTATGGTGTGCTGGGGGTTAAGTGTGGGGAAGTTGTTTCCTGCCTAGAGCTGGATTATTTTTGTACCACAGAGTAGTTTTCAAAAAGTCTTTACTGAGCAAAGTGCTTTGCTAAGGCTTTTACTGGTAAAAACAAAGCAAGCAAAAATGCTTTGCTCAGATTCCTACTGAAATCACTAGATGAAATACTTTCCTCAGTTTTATACTGCAAGCAAACATATGTTGATTAACAAAATTAATTCCTTAATTAATTAAAACCTACCATATATTCTACCGGAGAGTAATAGAGAACAATATTTTCAGGGACTGAGTGCTGGTCAGAGTAAGACTGGGGAGCAAACGTCCCATCCATCACTGTTGAGATCTTCTGTATTTGCTGCCCAGTGCACCTTAATGCCAGCTGCACATTCTGCAGTGCCCTCCCCTGGCTGCCAGAAGCAGCTGTCCAAGTGACAGTTGTCTCAAAGCCTTTGTACCCTTCTTCATATCTTTGCTGTCAGGTGTCACTGCTGGCCAACCCCTTCAGCACTGACTCCAAAGTACTGCACCTCGAGGGCTCCCCTGGAGGGAGAAGAGACCCAGGACTGCAGCTGGAAGCACGGAGAAGGGACGTGGGTATGCCACCATAGCACCATTCCATCAACATGGGAGATACTGCATAGTTTGGCATTTGGTGGGGTATGATGTGACATGGGATTGCACTGAGAAGTTGGGCAGCAGAGTTTGCTTTAAGGTAAATTACTGCTGACTCTGTGTGTGTAAAAGCATCTCTGTTGTTAGTTCACTTGCATCATGCTAGAGAATTGCATCAGGTGGGTGCAGGTCTCTTTACATCCCAACAAGCTGGCTTACTGGGAAGGAAACCTTCTTGCAGAGAAACACTGAGAAAAGTTGTCTAGAATGCTAAAACACAAAAATTTATCACTACTTTTCCTCAAAACTTTCTCAAATCTTATTTCACCTGACCAGATAGCAGTAATCCAGATTGAGCCTTAATAAAATATCCTATGGCTTATAAATGCTCAGAAATTCCACTGCTGAGATGCTCTGCAGCAGCAGTGCCAGTCAGAGGGGACTGACAGGCTGAGTTGTGCCAGGGATGAGCAAACTGCCAGACCTGAGGAAAGGAAACAGCAGTGACCTCCATGGATGGGCAGTGTCTGATGGGATGCTGCAGTCGGGAGGGACAGATCTCCCACCGTATACATCATAATCTTCTTGTCTGCATATAATTTTACCTGCATGGAATGCAGTACAGGAGAAGCATCGCTCCTTACAGAACTACCAGTTATAGATTATCAGACCTGGAATTTTATGGTGCTTACTGGTGGTTTGTATGTCATTCAGTTCAGGGGAATGAATCGTGAGGACAAGTCAGACCAACCAACCAACCCTTACAATTATGCCCTAACTATCGTATAATGAAAACTCTTCTGCTTTACGTATCATCTAAAAACGAATTTACCATCACGCTTTTCTACAATAAGGCAGAATTAGCACGGAGAGATGGGGAAGATGCTGCCTCTGTGCTGGTGGGTTTTTCTGCTTTCACATGCAAGCCCGGTGCTCTGCTTATGCTGTCTGCCCCACATCCTTCACAGGGAGGTCTTCAGGTGAGGACAATGTTACCCCAGCTCCGCTTCCAACCACAGATACCGGAGTGCTGACACGGGTTGTGCAGAGAGGCGGAGGTGCCCCGTGCCTGCAGACACCCGAGGGCAGGGGATGAGAAGAGAGCACTGATGGAGCTCTGGGTGCCTCCGTTCAGTGCGGGGAGCGGGACCCGATGGCCTTTCAAGATCCCTTCCATCTCAAGCGATTCTATGGTAACGTTGCTCCCAGTCAATCTTAGAGGATACAGAGAAGAAGAACTAACGTAGAAGGTCGGGGTTTGAAAAGCTGTTTTTGTGCCGCATGGCAGAGCTCCGCTGTGCCGGGCAGCACCGGGACCGAGCGGACCAAGCGCAGGCAGCCCGGCGGGGCCGAGCGGGGCCGCAGTGCCACCCAGGGGGCGAGCGCTGCACTTCAGCCGCTGCGTCCGCGGAGCTCCGGCAGCGGTGCTGCGGGATGGGAGCGATCGGGAGCCGTGCGGCCGCGTGGCTCACCTTGAGGATGCGCGGGTTGCGCAGCATGCTGTCCCGGGCCACCCCCAGCCGCTCGTTCTCGCTGCCCGCTGCCACCTCTGCCAGGCTCAGGGGGCGCCGAGGAGGCCCCGCCATGCCGAGACCGCTCCGCTGTGCGGGGGCAACAGGTGAAAGAAAGGGGCAGAAAAAAAAAAAGGAGGAAAAAGGGACGGGTTACAGCCCCGCTGCGCTGCGGGGCCTCGGGGCGGGCCGGCTCTGAGGGTGCGGGGGTGCGGGGGGGGGGGGAGGAACGGCGTCTCCTCGTCTCCTAGCAACCGCCACGCCGTGGGTGCGCTGCTGTGATGGTTCCGGGTGGGAACACTTCCGCCTGGCGGGGCGGAACGGGAAAAGCGGGCGGAACGGAAAGAGCGGCGCGGGGGGCGCTGTGCGGAGGGACGAGGGGTGAGCGCGTGAGCGGCGGTGCGGTGTTGCGTTGTGCCGCTCGGTGCCGTGGCCGGCCTGCGGTAACGGCGCGGTGCTCAGGAGGTGCGGAGAGACGGGCTGCGGTGCTGGACTGCGGGTTGGGGCGTTTTACGCGTAGTTTTTCGCGATGAAACATTCGAGCTTTCGGGTGTTGGCGTGGAGCTGCCGGTACCGGCACAGCCTCTCACAGAACCGGAGCGCGGTCAGGAAGTTCTGAGCAGAAAATTCAGTGCTGTCGTATTGTTAGACTGTCGGTGTGTCGGTGCTGAGCATAGCGGCGTTATTCCGGAGTTATTCCAAGTCAACTTAATGCTAACGTTGTGTCTGTTGTTGCAGGCGGCGTTGCCGAGGCTGGGATGCACGGTGTGTGTGATGAGGGCGGCAGCGTTTCCACGCACTCGCTTTGCAAAGTTTGCTCTCCTGCCAAGCAAGCGCCTGCCCCGTCTGCTTCTCACCCAATGCTGAGTCGTTCTACAGCGGTTCTATAGGTTTTATCATTATTATTTTAATATATGAGAGTATGGTACGGATGTAATGTTGAGCCCGTGAGTAAAACTCTTATTTAAGGTAAGGAGAAAATATGAGAGAAAAAGCAAATGGTGATGATTTTCCCGTTTGGGATTCTCACAAGAAGAAAAAGAGAAAACGCAAACGGTTCGATGTGGACCATGGGAATGGAAGCATCCAGGATGCAGAGCTCAGCTGTGCTTCTACGCAGCTCTCTGAAGATCATGCAGGACAGAGCAGTGAAGTCTCTAAAAAGAAGAAGAAAAAGAAAAAGAAAAAGAAGGGCGAGGAGCAGCAGCCTCTGCTAGAGAATTCTCTTGCAGAACTGGAGCGTGAAGTAGGTAGTGAAACTGTGCTGGGTGCTTCTCAGAAGAAAAAGAAAAGAAGGAAGTGGAAGTTCAGTGAGAGTATGGATAGTCACAGTGATGTGGCTTGTGTCCCTGTGAATCAGGATTGTGTTGATAGTTGTCAGGAGGATAATGCTGATAATGTGTGTTTTAAGAAGTCTGTTAAGAAGAAAAGAAAACGAAAATTGCCAGAAAAGGATGGGGTCAGTGAGTCACCTGCTTCAGAAACACATGGCAATAAAAGGCCGAAAAAGAAGAAGAGAAGGGTGAGCAGTACCCAGGATACACAGGAGGACAGCGATGCAAATGTTGACCTGTCACTTCTGACATACCCAGGCCAAAAGAAGCAACAGGAGGACGTGAAGTCACCATCCACCGCAGGTGGGGGTCGTGTGGTGGGGTCGCAGTGCAGAGGCAGTGCCTGTGGTGCTTCTGCTGTCAGTGAGGATCCTACAGATGCACCTACTGGTTTCTCCAAATCTGCTGCAGAAGCTAAGAAGTCATCTAGACGGGCTGCAAAGGTTATAAAAAGCAGGAGTTATATCACAGAAGACAGCTCTTCAGATTCTGATGTAATGTAAGTTTAGGTTTTTTTTTCCTACTCCACTTAAATAGGTTTATATTGCAGTATTTGAGTCCCAGATCTTTCTTAGTCTCTGTTGCATGCATCTTTAAAAACAGCTTTAAAGCCTGAATGTTATGAGATAATAGAATCCTGCTTTTAGACCTTAGGGATTTTATGAATATAAACATAAGCAGTGAAAGTTTGTAAGAATATGTGACCATTTGCAATGATGTAGAATAAGCACAATAATAAAAATAGCCTTAAGAGTATTTTTGATAGTAAGAGCATTAATAACAAACAGAAAAGTTGTGTTGGCACTGATATCAAGAGCCACTATTACTTATGTGTGTCTATGTGTAAGAGTTCTCTGAGGAAGCTGGAGCTGATTTCAGAGACTGAATACTGTAAACACTGAAATGTCATAATGAATTACATCTGTGTGAAAAGGCTTCTGCTGGGGTGGAGTGTATGGATGTCTGAAATAGTCCTTATTCTTTAATTAATGAACGTGTTTATACTTTTAATTGTAGAGATACAGTCTCTGTTTTGGAGCTTTGCTGTTGGTGGGTTTGTCTGTTTGTTTGTTTGTTTTAATGCTGTTTAATTTTTTGATCAGGACACCAGAAACCACAACATCAAATAAAAAGGAGGACCAGAATAATTCATTTACTGAAACCACGGCTACTGATGAGCTCAGTCTGGATGATGAAGATTTGCTGCCCGTGGTTACAGCCTTGGATTTAGATACTGCAAAACAAGAATTGGAAGAGTTTATTCCTCATGTGGGTCAATTGTCTGACCATTCGATCAGAAAAATGGCTGGAAGAGATTTACAGAGATTTAAACAGTTTAAAAAACAAGGTGAGACCTCAAAAGAATGCTGCAGTGAAGAAGTGTGTAGTTATGCTGATCTTTTGACAGAGGGGAAATAGCTTTTGTGTCCTCTCACAGCCATGCTCTTGTTGCATTATATTTAATTCTAGTGAGCATGTTTTTTGTTGCTCTGTTTCGTAGCATCCCCTATTTTATCAGCAAATTACAGTTCAGAATGTGTGCTTAAATTACCTGCTCCCGCCTCTTGTTTTCTTTCTCTTTCATATGCCATTTTACTTTCTGAATTTGTTGATCTTCTGTTATATGTTTTCTAAAACATCTTTGCTATCTTGAAGTATTATGTACTTGGGGCTCTTTTATTTATTTTTTTAATAAAAGTTTCTTTCTATTTTAGGTATTGCTATCAAGTTTGGCAGATTTACCCAGAAGGAAAATAATCAAATCAGGAAAAATGTTGAAGAGTTCTTATCAATTACTGGGATAGACAGTGCTGAAAAGCTCCTGTTTACCTCGAGGTATCCAGAAGAGAAAGAAGCCATCAATCGCCTGAAAGCAGAGCACCTTTTTTGTGAAAAGCTTGGTAAGCATTAAAGCTCTGTCTCATATATTTCAATGTTGCATTCCACAGACTTGTGATATCTCCTTTTTCTTTTTAGTAAATTATTATTGAAAAGTGCTAAAGCTGGCAGATTTGGCAAAAAAAAAAGGAACACGTTGCTGAGGTTTTGTAGTTGATAATTGCACAGTGTGCTGTTCTTATTATTTATTCCAGGTCAGGAAGAAGTTAGAAATGAAAATTTTATTGTGACCAGCAGCACATACAGACTTGCATTTGGGTTTTGTGGCTTAAGGTACATCATTTGCTAGGCTGTGTCTAAGTTTAGTGATTTATCAATGGGAAAGAATGATTAAATGCTGTCTGAAATATTCATCATCCAATGATGTCATAAACAGGAAGGAATAAAGTCATTAGTCGGGGTAGTTAGTATTCCAAAATGTGAGGAAAGCAAATAAAATTCCAACTAATGAGATTCTGTTTGCAAGAGGCACAATCTCTTCCCTCATGACTTCTCATGGCTAAGAAACTTTCCTGCTTTGCAAATATATTCATTTTGTAGTGTCCCTGGTAAAGCTGCTCAGTGCCCTTTCTCAGTGGCTCGCCATGCTGTGTTCTGTATCATTAACATAGGCAAGACAGAATAAATGATAACCCTGGGATTGGATACTTTGGTTCTTCTTGAAGATTTCATGAACTTGATCATTCCACCTGTGTTGTCACACTGGCATGGTGTTGACTTCTCATTTGAGACACCACTCCTGCTCTGGGAACGTTTGGCAGAAAGCGACATTGATGTTATGCCAACCACTGTTAGCAGTCTTAGCCAAGGTTGTTAGGTGTGTTTATCTCTGTGGATCTTTTTCCACTTCAAGGATGTTTCCTTCAGCCAGGATCTTCACTTTCTTTTCGCTGAATGCCTTCATTCCCTGATTTTCAGAGTCGAAATAGTCAGCATGCAAAAGTGCTTGGCCTCCTGATGGGTGGCTGCCTTGTGCCTTTTTTTTAGTAGGAGGATTCAATAAGCTTCTTGCATGTGATCCACATGTTACAAAAATTTACACCCAGTCCATCCAAACTGGAAGCTTTAGAGCAGTAGATTTAGCTTTAGAGTTCAAAAGTTTAGAGATTTGTGCTTCAGAGTTCAAAAGTTCGGTTTTGTACACTCCCTTGCACACTCACAGAATTATGTATCAGCTGTCAGCACGTGTAATCTTACCATGACTGTAACAGTTACATCTTTGGAACTCTTCAGGAGATTTTATCAACACTATTTCCTGTGCAGTTTCTGAAGTGTTGTAGAGTACTGTCTTTTGAATGGAGAGAATCTAAAAGCAGAGTCATAAAAATACTTTTTTTAAAGTTGCTTCACCAGTGTAAAAATGTTTCTTAAAACTGAATTGTTTACCTTCCAGCTGAGGGCATACCACGAGCCTGGAGACTTATATATTACCGAGCAAGGAAGATATTTGACCCAAATAATTACAAAGGGAGGTAAGCCAGTAATTTGAAAGAGTTTAAAAGAAGGTTGATAGCATTCTCTGATGTTTCCTTCTTCGTTAAATGTGGATATAACTAAGATCATCCCACGTTTCTGCTGGTTACTGTGACTTAATGGGCAATTCATTTTTCTGTCTAGTTGCTATAAATCCCTCCAGTACAAAGCGTGACTTGAAACTGTGGTAAATATCTCTCTTATGATATTGGAAGGGCTTGAATTTGCGTATGAAGCTGTGTCCATTTCTTCTATTAGGTATACTAAAGAAGAAAAAGAAAAATTGAAGAGGTATCATGCTCTCCATGGCAACGATTGGAAGAAGATTGCTGAGATGATGTCCCGTTCTAATCTCTCAGTTGCCATGAAATACTCTGAAATCAAGTCACGTATGTATTTTTTAAGAATAATAATTCATTCTGTGTATTTTAATTTAAAAAGCTTTCAGGCAAAAGAGAACAGTCTCAAAGCTGTGGGAGAAGAAAAACAAACAAAAAAGGTGGGATGGGAGGAAGAGGAACTGGGACAAATGTGGTTTTCTTAAATGGAATTGACATTTCTGATGTCTAAATGCTGTTGTGGGGAGGATGTGAGGAATTTGACAGCAGGGTCTTGAAATACAGGAGCTAGGAACTGGTATCGTTCTTTAGAGTGAATTCTCATTAAACTGAGTGTTCCTCTCACATCTGGTATGCAGAGGAGTTTCTGGGAAGCAGGTAAGAAATGGATCCTTTAAATGAAAATATGGCAAAATGAAGCATTTTTTCCTAATAATGTATGATAAATTATGTCCTAACCATGAATATTTTTCTATTTTAGAAATTAATTATGGTCCTTGGTCAAAAGAGGAGATCCAGAAGTTGATGCATGCAGTGGAGGAAGTGATTGTAAAAAGAACAAAATTGGAAAATGCAAATTCTCTTTCATCATCAAAAAAATCACATAGAAGTCTCCAGGTTGACCGTGAGAAACTTTTCCAGAAATTACCATGGACTGAGATTGAAACTAAAGTGGGCACTAGGTATTGGAGACAATGTAAGCAGAAATGGTAAGGCTTTATACTAAACTGAGTAGTGAAACCTGTCCTTGGGAGTATTTAACCCCATTTTGAATAGTTTGTAATGTGATGTTTGGTTGGAGACTACAAAAAGAGACAAATAACTCCTTGCCAGCTGTGCTAAGTTTTCTCATTGCTGTGATCTCCAGGCCTGATTGCTGCTGCTTTGTTGCTGTAGCATCAAAGTGTGGCATCTTGGAGTTGCTTCCTTTAGGTGCCTGAAATGTCGTGAAATAATAGGAACCTTTTTTGTGTGTTTTAAAGGACTTCAATTGTAACCAACAAGATTACCAAAGGGCAGCAGTTACACAGCGGAACCAAAGGATTACAAGCCAGCATCAACCTTATTAAAAGGTATAGTTGAGAGTTAGTGGGATGTTTTTGGATCTCTTGCTGTTCAGAGTGGTGGTATAAAAGCATGCTGGTTGTGAGCTGTGTGCCTGTGGTTTCGTACCACTCTTTGGATAAAAAGTCCTGTAACTTCTGACTGGGGGAGCTGTGAATCTTACTGAATTATTTATTGAATTCTGCCTACACACTGCCTCTGTTATGTTCCCAGGTTGTATGAAATGAAAGTGGAAGATGCTAATGAAATAAACTGGGAAGAACTCAGTGATATCATTGGGTAAAAACTCTTTTCTTTTCTTATGGATACAGAAGATAGTTGAAGCAGACTGTCCGAATTTCCTCAAAGGAATCAACATTCTGCAACCATAAAAAATACTATCTAATTTGATAATGTACAGGTGTTGATCCTTGCACAGCACTGCACAATCAGCCACGTCTGGAAGTTCTGAAACTTAATTTTATCCACTTCAGGCAATGCTGTTATTCTGCTCCTGGTGTTTTTTTGTTTACTAAAACTGTATTACATAGCCTGTGCTGAAGTTCTGGTAAAGGACATTTCCAAATGCACATCAAAAACAGTAAAAGGGGCAATTATTGGAATGTGTGATAGAGTATAAATCTTCCAAACAAAGTAAAAATTGAACATAAAATTAGTGATCCTGTGAATGCTGTGCTTTCTTTGTGATTCTCTTGATGTTTTCCACAGTTTTTTCAGCTTTGTTGTTTCTTTTTTACTAACTAGGTGATGAATATGTGTAGTGTTATGTTTTAGGTGCTTACATTAAGGGAATTGACACTTGAAAACTTGTCTGTATTAGGATTTGCAGTCTGTGCTTTCTACCTGAAGCAAAGTAAACCAGTGTCATTCTCAGGAATTGGTAACTCACATAAAGTCAGTAGTGACTCAGTGCATCACTGTGTCTTTCAACTCTTGTCTTTTCAGAGACGTTCCTGGCAGCTACATTCAAGCAAAATTTTACAAACTCAAAGTCTCCTATGTTCCTTTTTGGCGAGAAAAGACTTTTTCTGGTGAGTCTCCTAGCTGTTTTTATATACTCCTTAAGCTTTTTGTTCCAATTTGAGAGGTTACATCTTCTACTTCACTGCATGCTTTCTTAGTTTTTCTGTCCTAAGCAATTTGGCTAATACCACAGGCTTTATACTTATTTTACTAATTTTTCTTTTCCTTCTCAGTGGATTGTAACAGTTTCCTTCTAATTGCATCTTCACACAGTGCTCATCAACCCCTTCTGTTTAGTACCTCAACTATAAAGTTTTGACCGTGCTTTTTTGCTTTATGTTTTAATGTACATGTATGTCCAATTTACAGTGTGGTCATTATAATGACTATGGAATGGTAAGATATTTGCATTAAACACTGACAAAACAATTTCTGCCTGTGAGATTCTCTTTCTCTTTAAGGGATCCAGTTCTGAACAAATTCAGTTAAGACTCCTTTTTCTTTTTTCAAAGAAATCATTGATTATCTTTTTGAAAAGACACTGCCAGAACTTGAACAGAAGTTGGAAAAGAAGAAAGGGAAGCAGTCTAACTCCAGTGATTCAACGGTCAATCCAAAGAAACAGGTTTTCCAACTCAGTGATGTTTTTGACTCCAGTGAAGAGAGTGATGACTGACTGCCTTAAAAGCAATTTAACTGCATATTTAACTGCCAAAAGGGTCTGCTGGAAAGGGGGTGCAGATCAACCACTGCAGGTACACAGGCTATGAAATAATGGAAAACAAGAATATAGGCACATTTGCTTTTCTTGTTTTATATTGAAGACTGATTGAAGATACAGGTTTTTTAATGCTACCTTTTGTTACCATCATTTAGCTTTGTTTTAGAAGTCCTTTTCTAACTGCAACCAAATTTCTTTCTAAAAGTTTCAAAAATAGATATTTTTTTCCACTGCTTTATTTTCAGTGGAGTTAGAAACTTGAGTGTGATCTTAACTCTAAAATATAAACAAATCTTCAGGCATCTGTGGTGATGGAAACAGCACAACTGTGTGATGTCTTATGCTTTAAAGCAACTTATTTAATTTTTGTTGTAGATTTAACTCTTTCAGAGAAAAAGGATTTTGCTCCATTGTAATCATAAATTATACCATCATTTCATGTAAATCAGAACAAAACATTTAAAATGTTTTTATTAATATTTGGAATATAGAGAGAAAACAGACTGTGTATATGTATATACATAAATATATATATGCACATAAATATTTTTTTATTGTGCCAAGGCGAGTTTTTACATTTTGATAAGAAAGAAGGATAAGGTGGAGGTTGCACCTCCTGTCTTTGTATGATCACTTAATAATTTGCCTAAAACTTATTTGTAAACTGACTCAGTGAATGTAATATAATTTTACTGTGTGTATAAAGCATTTGTATGGCTTGTTTATATTTCATATGTGCTGTGTTAGAAACACAAGAATTGGTTCTGACATAATGCTTTGTGTTGCTTTTGATAAGTGAGAATTTCCTACTTTAATAATTGTCAATGAAAATGCAGAAGTTTTAAAGGCTTTTGAAATAAAGGCCTTGTATGAGTATTTTCTTGGCTGTCATGTAGCAAAGGGTTTTACATGGGAACTTTCCATGTTGACTGTAGTCTGGCTTTAGTCTCTGAAGATAGGAAACAGTGGGATTCTGTGGGACAGACAGGATGCTGCATGAGATCAGCTGCCTGTATAAGGGTAAGTTTTCAGCCCAACTTGCCTGGCAGCTTTGGAGGTTAAAAGTTGAAGCATTTGAATTTTAAATATAAGCAGTCTGTGCTTTTCCATCCTACCTACCTACCAGTGTAAATTTTTTTTGTGGAGTAGAGCACAACAGCTTGGCTGGAGATTTTGCAGGGTAGATGTCACAGGAACAAACTTGCTCTTCCATAACAGGATTTATTCTATGCCCGTTTAAAGGCAAAATTCTAAAGGAAGAGTTTTGCTGACACATTCTTTAATGGAGAAACAGCATTTAACAAGTCACTCAGTGCAAGAACTGTGAATTTGGGGCAACCACTACTGTGGCTGCTTTGAGAAAGGTACAGATCTGACCTCTGTCCTACAGCAAAAAAAGTGGAAACTTGTCATTCTCATGCAAGCTTTGGGAATGGAGAAGGAAAACAAGGACAAGGGGAAATGGTTTTAAATGGAGGGAGGGCAGATTTAGGTTGGACGTCAGGGGGAAATTCTTTACAGAGAGAGTGGTGAGGTGCTGGAACAGCTGCCCAGAGAGGCTGTGGACGCCCCGTCCATCCCTGGAGTGTTCAAGGCCAGGTTGGATGGGGCCCTGGGCAGCCTGGGTTGCTATGAAATGTGGAGGTTGGTGGCCCTGCATGTGGCAGGGGGGTTGGAGATTCATGATCCTTGAGGTCCCTTCCAACCCTCACCAATTTGTGATTCTGTAAAAACAGTTCCTTATCCCTAATCTCCTTTGGTAAGCTGTTGTTGACTCTTTCATCCATTGGAGGAGGAGGCGGCTTCCAAAATCATATCCCCATTCTGTGAGTCCTGGCGCTTGAGAGGATAAGCAAGGATCTTTTCCCTTTCTACTTCTTTTGTAAAGGTGGAGGAGGGAGAAGCAATAGGGCCGTGTTATTACTAAACCAGCAACGCTGTGTCGAGGTTAAAAAACAAACAACAAGCAAGAACTTCCCAGACCCAGCAGAACTGAATAATAGAGCTCTACCTTAGGCTGTTACAAAGAGTGGGGCACATCCTTTGAGTCTAAAAGCACCGTCAGTCCTTAAAAAAACCACAGGAGATTCACACAGAGCACGCCACTCCAAGCACTGACGATGGGCTGAATGGTGTAGAAAGAAATCTGGGCTGCCGTTATCCCAGGCTGGGTCACAGCTGTGCCTGCAGCAGCGCCCTGCCTCGAAGCTGCGATCCTGGGGCAGCAGGAAGGCCGAGCGGGGCTTTGCCACCTCCGTCCCCACGGCAGGCTGGAGCAAGGCTCGACCCTCACATCCCCGCTCTGCCCGGCAGAGGGCGCTGCTCCCCGCGAAGCCCCCTGCAGCCGCAGCTGGGCGGTTTCCGTTGCACCGCAGGCCTCCAGGGGAAGTTTTGTCGCAGGTGTTTCTAGGCTCAGCTTGCTGATCACGGGTTTTATGAGCTTAGCGCTTAAATAATACAAGTTCGGGGCTCGGTCGCCGCTTGCATTCACAGCACCACGCAGCTGTCTCAGTTCCCCCGTCTCGGCGGTCCCACCTTCTCGCGGCCGTTGCCCCTTTAAGGCCGCCAGGCCCGCGCGCCGCCAACTTCCGCCAGCGGACCGGAAGCGCGGGGTCGCGCCGTGAGGCGGGGCGGGTGGGGTCGGGTCGCGCCGCCATCTGAGGTGAGCTCAGGTGAGGCGGGCTCCCTCGGCCCCGCGATGCTGATTTTCGCTGCGCCCGCCGAAGCGACGCGCCCCGACCTCCGCTCTCCCTTCTCTTTCTTTTAGCTGCGCCGTTTCTGTAGAGGTAGCGCCGGACCCGCTCGGTTCCTGAGGCGCTGTGAGCTTGGGGCGGGCGGTGGTTGGGACGGGAGGAGGCAGAGAGCTGCCTTCCGTCCCTGCTGAGGCCGGGGGTTCCTCTGGGGTCGGTGTGGGTTTTGGCGGGAGCCGTTACGGGGTGTGCGCGGGTCGGGGCTTCTTTCTGCTGAGGGCGTTTGTGTGGGGGTGTGTGCGTGTGGGTCTCTTATTTTTAGCAGGTTTGTGCCTTGAGGTGCGTGGGTAAATCCGTCCACCTGTGTCAGAACGAAGTGAGTGGAAATCGTACTGCCTGCATGTGAACGATGGAAAGAAACGATGCTTAACAGCTCGGGAAGGGATCGCTTAGTGTAGAGACAAAATCTGTTAATCCAGAAACCCAAGCAGTTCTTAGCCTGCAGGCTAAGAACAGTGCTGACCTGATTTTCTGACTCCTGCTGTTTTCTTCAAGGTCTCCGAAGCACAGCCGAGGTGCCGGCAGATGGGCTGGGCTGTGCTGTGCTGCAGGGCAGCTGTGGCTGCAGGCTTTGACCCCCGGCCCTGAGTGCAGGGCAGCCCCGAGGCCATCCCACCATGTGACCCGGCGCTCCTGCAGCGAATCTCTTCCTTTTCCAAAGGTAAATTCCACCGCTGGTGCTTTGTTTTCCTTTCGGTGCCTTATCTATGAGGAAATCCGTGGTTCTGCTTTACCTAGGTTTCACTTTTGCGTTCATTGTTATGCTGAATAACAGCTGTTGCCAGTGCTCATTTTACGAAGCCGTTCCAACTGTTCGTGCTCCTCTAGAACTAATGGGGTCTGAGATGGCTGTGTAGCTTCTGTAGGAATGGAATGGAATGTTGTTTCTGCGTTAGAACTAGCAAGATAAGTATTTCATTTCATGGTCTCTGCTGTCATCTAGTATCCTTTATCAGTACTAATAATTCTTTTTGAGTCCTTTTTACTTCATCAGGGGTCTCTGGTGGTCTTCATCACTTGCCCTTTAGCTGAACTTTCCACGTGGGCACATACTTAGTAGGTAGGATAGAAACAATTTACAGTCGCAAAGGTTAGGCAGGTGGAGTAATTTATAGGTATGCAGACTGCAGCTCTTGTCTGTCCAGCCATCTGGAATACTTCTGAGCCTTGAGTTAAAGACGAGTTAGACAGCCCACTCCTAAACAGTGTGATAATGCATCCAAAACCCTTAACAAGGATATCAGTAGGTTCGTTGTGATGGAAGACTGCTGATTTTTGGTGCTGGGCAGACAAGGCCTGAGTGATAGAAAATTTAAGGAGGACAAGTTAAATAATTAGCAATATATATGTGTAGTGTGAGAGGTAGATTGTATTTTTGCATTGGAAGTTTCCAGTATTCTCTGTATGTAGCATAGGCTCTTAATGAACTTATAACGTTCTTGTGAAAGAGTTATGAGTTGTTTTTTCACAAAGGAAGTTGCTGAATAGAGTAAAGTTGCGACTAGGGCATTGTGGCTCAGCTAGAATAGAGACAAGCACAAGACAAGGTAAATATGCATGGAGGAAAGAGCCTAACACAGGACAGAACAGATGTGCTAGCTTTTGGCAACATTGCGCTCCTGTCGCCATAGAAAAGTACAAAAATACCTAAAAACAACAGGTTGGTAACAGACCTTATATGGAGATATATCATAGCAACAGTGTTGGGAAGCTAGTGAGCCTGAGGCGCTCAACCAGTGAGTGCCAGGAGAGCATTACCTGCGTCGGGTTTAGGGCATATAGCAGAATGAATTGCACTGACTGGTGTGCAGTTTATAATGAAAAAACTTTGCTGCTATCACTAAAATCTTTGCCTAACTAGGAATCTTTGATTCTGAGAGTTTCTTGCAGTAGCTTGCAACAGCTACTTGGTTACTACCAGTATCCATATGTTTAGTTAAGTGTCGGGAAGATTTGTGATCCTGAAGAACCAATCCTGAAGATCCAATGAAGAACCAGAGGTGGGAAAAGATAAACGTAGGGTAGTAGGGCATAAAAGAAGTAACGCTGTTTTTGCAGGCATGCTCCTGCCTGCAGGATGCCTGCCATTGCAATTGTGAATAAAATATGCTTTTATCAGAAAAACCATCCTGACAAATTATTTGGATTTTTCAACAGTATGAAGACTATATAATGTGACTTTTTTGTAGTGCTGTGGCTGTTTTTAATGTTTGTCATACAGAAAACTGCCTGCTGCAATTTTTATATAATGCTTTTCACATGCTCTGTTTCTTTGTTTATTTGCATGTGCCTACATTATCTAAAACAACTGTTATGGCTGGAAGGAAATACTTGACCACTCTGTCTTAAGACTTTTGTTGATCTCGTTTTCTTTCTTTCTACAGAATGAACGTATGTCGATGGTGTACACCAAGTGGTCTTGATGCCACTGAATACCTGAAGAGCTATGCTTCTAAACAGTTGTCCCCAGAAGATCTTGAAGCTTCCAACGATGATCTCTGTTACTGCTTGGAGTGTGTGGTTGAATACCACAAAGCAAGGGAGAAAGTGCCAAGCTTGCATCAGGTAATGGAGTGTTTTGACTCCCAACCTTTACTTAGCAAGGAGAACTTAAAACTGAAGGAAAACTTCAGACGGGGCTTAAGTGGCTCAGCATCAGTATACAGGGGAGCTTTTTGCAGGAATTGTGTTATAATGACTTTGAGGAAAATGGTATGTTGAATTTTAACCATGCTTTTTTGTTTTTTTTACACTTGGTTGCATAGAGCAAAGCATAAGAGAAAACCTGTTTGTTTTGTATGTATTCAGATTAGTGGTAACTAAAGTCACTCATTTAGAAATTATAGCTTGAAGCAAATGAAGAGATTGTATGCCAAGCAAATTAACTGCTCTGCTTCTAAAGTATTGGCTTCTGTTCAGTTTTGGATTCTTCTTCTTTTTGTTTCGCTTTCATTTTTCATTCACAGCTTCCTACAATGTTTGAGTTTCGAAGCTCTGATTTTGCATGTGTGTACAAGATAGAAATTAATGGGAAAGAAAGTAAAAGGCTTAGAGTTACTGGGGATCAGATAGTCCTAATCATAGAAGCTTGTGGGGGACTTTGTAGGAGATAAGTTGGAATTCCAAAAAGGGAACACCCGTCTGTGTTCCAGTACAGAAGTCACAATATAAACTGCTCACAAGGCCGTGTAGTCCTGAGACTGTGGGCCTCCTCCTCTGTATAGCCTCAGGCTAAGGCTGGGCCAAGATCTAACGATCAGATAGAAGAAAAGAAGAGATAGTGGGTAACTTTTTGAAGAATCCACTGACAACAGAATGAACAGGATGTTCAAAAGAAGGTGTACCATGAAACGAAGGGATGAAGATAGACTGATAAGTTCATGACTTTTGACTCGTGCAAAAAGGGACTGCAAGCAAATGGACCTTTGGAAAGATCTTGGTGGGAATAGAGATTGAGCTCACCTGTTAGGATGTGTGTGTGTGTCTATATAATATTAACCTTTAACCATCTGTGTAGACAATCCAAGTTTGGGACTCTTCCTCTGTGTTTGTAGCCTAGTATGTATGCTGATGATTATCTGAATAAATCAATAGGCTAAGGTACCTGTCTGACTCTCTGGCACTCCTTAACAATGTGAAACTGACTTAAAAGCAATGAAGGGTGTTTCAAAGTTGTTACTTTAAGGTGCTTGTTAGCATCCCGTTGTGTATTTTGAAAAGCTTATTTGCGTGTGTGGTGTCCTTATGCCAAATGAATATTTGTAGCTGATTAATCGTAGTTGCTCTTTATATAAAGAGATTCTCCACAAAAAGTCCACAAAAATGCATACCTGTAGAGGGCAGTCCCACTTGTATAAAGGCTGGAATTAAGCGGGGTGACTGAAGTGCTGAATGTGCCTTTCTATGTGGTTTGATTGTGGGATACGACCTTGATTTCTAATTGGAGCAGTTAATTTAGATGACTAATATAAGGAAAGAATCCTGGATAAGTGTTCAGCAGGTCAGTTGTTCTGCTTACATTGTTAATGTTCTCACTCTTCCACTATTATGTCACAAAATAAATGAGAAAATAAGATTTTTAAAATCGGTGTTTCTGTTTTTTGAATGTCTTTTTTCCTGGTATCATTAACTTCTTTATGCTGTGCTTTACCTATTGCCTGAAATAACTATTTGAACAGTTTGAGTTGTGAAAATACTTGAAGTTTTAATGCCACTCTTTTTTTTTCTTTTTTAATCATTTTTTAATCTTATCTCTGGAGTGAGGATGTTGTCATTTGCACAAGCTGAATTCCACTTTAAAATTTTGTTACTTACCATACCAAGAAAGAAACTTTGCAAAATGAAATTGCAAATTTTGAAAGTCTAGTCAGAGTTTCTGCTTGTAGTAATATTCTTGATGACTTTGTTTGCAGAAGTATTTTTTAAAATTTGATTTTTTTTCCATCTCCCACACTGAATAGGTTTTATTGGAATTGGAAACCTCCCGCCTCATAGCCCACATTGAAAAATCCATAAGAGAAGAAGCTGGAGAAGATGATGAGTTGTTTATAGTAGATGAGAATGGAGAGACACAGCTGCCTGTTTATGTTGGCCCAGATTTTGAGAATAACCTGAGAGTACCTCTTCTAGAAGTGCTGAAATACCCGTATCTGCTGCTACATGAGAAAGTCAGTATGTATCTTCTGTCATGCAGCTGGAAAGGCATGGTGTTGTTTGTACTGAAGGAGGCAGAAGTAGCAAATAATGGCTAAACAAGAATACCAATTTTTTTGTTTGTTTCGTGAGCTTATAAGTTTGTTTTGATTATAAATATGTTTCTCCTTCTAGGTGAGCTTTGTGTAGAAGTGCTGTGTAGAATGGAAGAAAGTCATACCTCCTTTCAGGTTTTTGAGAAATATCCAGGAATTTATCTATTTTTGGTACATCCAAATGAAGTGGTAAGTTACATTTTCTGTCCCACTAAAGCTTGATTCTTAATAATGTTAGAACAGATTCTGAGTGTTTTTGTGTTGTTTTTTTTATTTCTTTGTGTATGTGTTTTGTTATAATCCTTAGATTCGTCGTTGGGCCATCCTAACAGCAAGGAATTTAGGGAAGGTTGACAGAGATGATTACTATGACTTACAGGAAGTGTTGACTTGCTTGTTTAAAGTTATTGAATTGGGGCTTTTTGAGAGTCCAGATATTTACAGATCTTCAGTGATTGAAAAGGGAAAACTCATTCTTCTGCCATCCCATTTATATGATAATACCAACTACAAGAACTATTGGCTAGGTGAGTATTTCTGGTTGGAAATGAGCCTTGTACTCGTAACTTGTCTGGTAAGCAGTTGTTTCAAGTCTGAGCTATTTCAAGTGGGTTTGGATTCTCTTGGAGCTTGTCAAACGGAGAAACTGAACATTGCACATCTGCAGTTGTTCAGGTCGTTAAATGTTGCTGCTGATCTCTTAGGCTGAGTGTTATAGCAGCAGTGGTGTTTGGAAAATCCTTGATTGGATGAAACTGAAAACAAGTTTTCAGAAATGTACAGAAAGGTGGTTTTCTTGCAGGTATTTGTATGTTGCTAACAGTGCTGGAAGAACAAGCTATGGACTCCTTGTTACTGGGCCCAGACAAACAGAATGACTTCATGCAGTCTATACTTCACACCATGGAGAAAGAAGCAGATGGTAACTAATTTTTAGTACTGAGATTAAGGCAATTTCTTGTTTATTATTCATTTCTGTCTTTTTTTTGTTGTTGTTGTTATTTTCTATGGTACTTTGTTGTTTAGTTTTTTTTTAGCATTGTAATGCTGAGGTGATTAAACTTCAACTTTGAGGCTTATTTGTCTCCTGGGAGATGGTCAATATTTTGCAATATTTGGACTGTGCTGACAAATACTGAAAAGTGACATTCATGACAATCTTCTAATAAGAGAAAACACTGCAGTGCTTTAAGAGAACAGAATTGATCATTTCTCCCACATAATTTTCACAGGTTTTATGGAAATGAACATTTCACTATGGCATAAAGTTAGAATTTTTAGCACTAAAATAACAAAACACCTTTTTGCTTTTTTGGACTTGCTTAAAAAACTGATTCTTGCATCTGTTTTATTTAGACTTTAGCTTTTAGGCTTGTAGCTCTTGAACCATCCTTGTAGCCTGTGTGCCATGACATAGCTCTAGAAAGGCTCATGAGCTGAAGATTAGAGCTGCCCTTTAGAGAAATTATTTCCTTTATGAAGATATTTATAAGCATAGTACATATGTTGAGGATATAAGGTATCACCTTATATGAAGAAGGAAAAATACACAGGAAAGAAAATTGTTTCCATCTTAAATTTGAAGAATAAATTGTCCTAGAGGTATGAGTTCTTGACTAAGAACTACTTTAGTTTTTGGATTATCGGAGCAGGGAGCATAGTAATGATATTTATCCAGGTACCTGTTGATCAAATACAGCAGTATCTTTCTGTACAGACAAATTAAGCCAACATTTTTTTTCCTATTTCTTTTTGTCTTGGGATTCAAAAGCATAATTGCCACCTACTCAACTAGTTAAATTATGTTAATTTTATTTTAAAAAAAACAAAAAAAAACACAGAACAAAAGCCCCAGTAAGAATCAGTTTCACCCTACTCCAGGAACACACAGAACTCTTGCATTTCAATTCTCTCCAATGTTGTTATGTTTCAGATGATTCCACTGACCCCTTCTGGCCAGCGCTGCATTGTTTCATGGTTATTTTGGATCAGCTTGGTTCTAAAGTATGGGGTCAGCTTATTGATCCCGTTCAGGCCTTTCAAACAATTATCAACAGTGTGAGCTACAACAATGAAATAAAGAATATACGCAATAGCCTTATAAGGTAAATTTTGCTTTTTTCCTTTTTTTTAAATTTTTTTAAATTTTAATAATAGGTCATTTTTGTTACTGGAATAGGACAATCTTTATGATCATAGAATGGCTTAGGTTGGAGGGAACCTTAAAGATCATCTAGTTTCAACCCCGTGTCACTAGTAGGGTTGCCAACCACTAGATCAGGCTGTCCAGGATCCTGTCCCAGCTGGCCTTAAATGCCTCTTAATCTTAATATCAGGTAGCATAATAGCTTGATATTTGTTTATTTGTCAATGCTGCCTTAACTTATGTTGGGGAAGTGGCAAGGAGAAAAATGAGGTGTTGACAACTTCAAGCAATGCAAAGTTGAAGTAGGCCATCTACAATCTCAAAAATGTGCTTGCTTCTCTTTGATTACTTGATATCTCAGGTATACTTGGATTTTTTTTTCTGAGTCAGGAAGGCTACTAACTGCTTAGTTCTTACTGTCATAACCAACTCACACTTGAAATTGAAGAAAAATGCCACATCTGAGACTCTTGATAGAATTATGGGAATTCCAGAATTTTCAATAGGATGATGCTGTTTAGGTTATGTTGTAGTCTCATATGATGACTGATTTAAGTTTACTTTCAGCTCGTATTAAGTCTTGATTATTTCTCTAGATTTTTTTAAAAGGTGTGATCACAAAAAGTTTATACATCTTCTGAATGTATTCTTTTCAGAGAAGGTAGAAAGTCTTACCTTATAACATCACTGTGTGCTGCTTATTCATGCTGGAGTGAATGTATGAGTACCACATGCCAGTGGAGCCATAATTTGGCTGTACTTAGGGATCAAAAATTTGAAGAACATTGAATTTGAATGTTTGTTCTATTTAATCAGTCAAATCCATGTCTTACTGAAAAACTTTTTTCTGAGGCTGTCCCCCCTTCTTTGCCTTCCACTCTTTTACAAGCAGGATAGAATAAGATTTCACAGTTTTTAATGTCAGTGACAAAGCATAGCTAGGAAAGTTTCTAGTAGTGACGTGGTCAGTATTTTAAAAGTGAAGTGTGTGTCTTGGCTGATTGGCTTTCTGATTGCTGATTGGCTTTCTGATTGCTAGTTGTGTGGAATCTGTAATGGTTAATATTTCTTTTTAGGACAAAATCTGAACAGAAGACAGACTACAATGATGAAATGGTTACTTGCAGTCAGATTGTATATACTTATAACACAGAAAAGCCTCAAAAGGTATTAACAACTATATTTTTTACTTGCTTTTTAAACTCTGATCATTGAATGACAGTTTCAGTTTAAATCATCTTTGAAATAGAGGGGAATATGTTCTGTTTCTATCAGTAATTTTTATAACGTTGCAAATAAAAAAATGTGAAGTCAGTATTGTGTGCCTTAAGCAGCAGCAGGTCTGGCCACTTCTTTTTCTGGTACTTTCAGGCTGCTAAAGGAAACAAGAACATGTCTATGAATTAGGCAGAGATTCTACTAAAACTAAAATTGGTATTGAGACTGAGGCAAACATCATTACCTGAAGGAAAACTCTGAATTCAGTTTAGATATGGAGAAACAGAGGGCTTTAAATATAGGATAGCTGATTATCTGAAGTTAAAATATGTCATTATGATAACATCTCTGGAATGTTTTAAAATGGTTCTTTTTTTAAAGGAAATACAGTTCCACGTTTGCTTCATAAGTTAATCTAAGAAATATTTTTTCTTGCGTAGTATGATTTTTTTGTCTTTTCATTTAGATTTTGACTTATATGTTAACTAATAACAGATCCCTTATGTGTGAGAAAGTAACAGAAAGGCTAGGAAAACAAAGGCAGATTGAACTGTGAAGATGTGAATAATGATCATAATTCATGATTAATTTATTTTTCAGGATACTGGGTGGAAAACTGCTATTTGTCCAGACTACTGCCCCAACATGTATGAAGATATGCAAACACTGGCTAATGTGCTTCAGTCTGATATTGGCAGAGATATGCGTGTCCATGACAGCACATTTCTGTGGTTCATCCCTTTTGTTCAGTCACTAATGGATCTCAAGGACTTGGGTGTGGCATACATAGTAGAGGTCATTCACTACCTCTGTTCGGAAATCAAGGATATTCTCAATGAAAGAATCCAGCGGTGTGACAAAGTTTCTGAATTTTTTCTGTTGATCTTGGTGTCAATTATTGAACTACACAGAAACAAGAAGTGCCTGCATTTGCTGTGGATTAGCTCTCAAGAATGGGTGGAAGCAGTGGTGAGATGTGCTAAGCTTCCAGCAATTGCATTTACCCGGTGTACTGAAAAAGCAGCTGGCAGCTATGCTAGAGGTTCATCGACAATATCTTTACAGGCTTCTAACTCTGTGCAGCATGCTTGTGTGCAGTTGATACGCAGCCTTCTTAGAGAAGGCTATCAGATCGGTCAGCATGCACTATGCAAGCAATATTTAGACAAACTCAATCTCCTTCTGCGAGGAAATCTATCTTTAGGTTGGCAGCTGAACATCCAAGAAACTCAGGAATTACAAATATGTTTAAAGCAGGTTATAAGAAGCTTAAAGAGCAGAGCAGTGAATGTGTCTGTAGAAAACAATGCAAACTCTACAGCTTTACCCACTGTTTCTTTGAAGCAAGAGAAGAGCGCACCTGGTGATGGTTATAAGATGAGTGTGCATGGCAGAGAGAACCTTTGTTCACCAGTTGCCTTCATATCAAAGGAAGGTGAGGATGGACGTTGTCAAGATAACTCTTTCACTGGCAGAAATAGTGCCTGGGAACAAGATTGTAAAGATTCGTCTAAAAACTCAAAATCTTTGACCTCTACAGACTGCCTCTTGGTAAATATTAAAAAGGAACCTACGGACTTGATAACTCAGGAGTGCAGATGCCTGCAGAAATCATTTGCAAAAGAAATGCATGGGAAAGTTCAGGAAAATAGGAATAGTGGTCTTATGTCAGGGAACTGTGATGTGGGTAATCAGGGCTTTAATATAAGTATTCAGAGTTTGAATTCTAGAAGAAGTGGAGTGTTGGAAAACAAACAGGAAGCGGAAGCTATATCACCAATATATCTATCTGCTCAAACTAGTGTTGATTCTCCAGAGCATGTTTACAGCTCAGATGTACAGGGAAGAAAAGTGTCTCCTAGTTCCTCTTCAGAGTTTAAAGAAGATACGCATAGGCTTGGGCATCTTCATTTTCAGACACGCAATACTGAAGGGCACTCTAGACTATTAACTCAAATAGCGGATCTGAAAAACTGTGGTTCTGCAACAGGTGCTTCAGAAGCAGAGCAACTTGTGTTTTGCACTGGCAGTTCATGTATGAGGAAAGGCTGTTGCAAGCATCAGGGAGTAAACGCTGTGGGTGAAAATGAAGACAGAGAATCAGCAAATATTTCAAGGAGTTCTGAAAGTACGTGGGAGAAAAGTGCTTTTCAATACGGGCTGGTCTCCAAAAACCAGGAACAAAAAGAGATGCCACTTGACTGCTTCAGCTTTGCTAAAAATCAACCTGGAAATCAACCTGGCATGCAGGGAAACAAAGATAACAGTATTTTGCTTGCAAATATTAGTGACACCGTGCTGCAGAACGTATCCACCAAAGACGACTTGAGTTTGTTGTTGAAGTCTGTCTGTCTTAAAGACCAAGAGCAACCTAATTTAAGAGACCTAGTTAAATGTGACCGTAAAGGTCAAATTTCAAAGTCATCCTGTACAGTTAAAAATTCAGTGAGTGGTCATGTTCCATCTAGCTTTGAAAATAAGGGAGTTATGTCCAACACTGCTCTTCCAGTCAGTCCACTGACAATCAGATGTGAATCAAGTGAAAAGTTGATAGTATGCTCAAAATATTTCAAGAGAGAAAACGGTTCAGAGGGGAAGGAAGAGGAGAATTTTGTGAGGATGGTTTCTGAAGATAATGCTTTAACAAATTCCCAGCTCGATAAAGATCTCAGTAAATTGTCATTAGCTGCTTATGCCAAAAGTGTCAATTTTCCATCATGGTCAAGTCAGGAAAGTTCAATGCATAATAATACATGTGATGTTAAAAGGAAAGTGAAAAGTGCTGTAAGATCTTCCAACGATGCCCAGAGTAATCAGACTCTCTGTGATACAGATAGCCATGGCAATAAAATCATTATAATTTTAGACTCTTCTGATGAAGAAAACAATATTACTGTCAATGAGGAAAGAAAAGAAATTAATGAAAATGCGTGTCCTGAAAAGCAACCTTTATCAGAAATGCAGCATGATGTTACAGGTAGCAAATCAGAATCAAAGATGCCAAACTCTCCCTTGCCACTTGAAGACTGTGACTCTCAGTACTTTGAGTTTGAAACAGAAGTTGATGTCTTTTCTGTTTGGCAGGATACTCAAGAATATAAACAAGACGGTCTTTCAACATCGGTTGGTAGCAGTCATTCAGATGGCTTACTGAAGGATCACACAAATGAATGGGGTTATGATACAGATTATGTAAGTGATGATGCCATGGAAAAAGAAACAAACCAGACAGGGGAGGAGATAAATACTCATCAGAAAGAAACTGATAATACAGAAGTAACTAATTCAGCTTTGCAAGAATTTTCTGCTAAACAAGATGTAAAAGATGAAGTGAAGAACTCTACTGACAAAACTACTGTTGATAAAGACTTAATTCTGAATGCAGATTTGACGGAACCCAGAGCTTCTACATCCAGTATCTCATTAGCTTCAAAGCTGGCACTTAAGAAAAGTACTCTGAGCCCACGTAAAAATATAGCTAAATCTAAGGTAGCAAGAACCATTCAGAGAAGTCCTAAAACAACAGCTCTGAATACAACACAAACTAAAAAACTACTTCAAAGTACGTTAAAAAAAATTCAGCCTGGCAGGACAACGCCTGCTGTTGTTCCTCCAAAGAAAGCTCGGCAGTGTCCTGCACCAACATCAACAGTGGAAAAGCTTGGTCTGAAAAAGGCACCGCGCAAAGCATTTGAATTATCCCAGCGCTCTTTAGATAGTCTAGCTCAATTGCGTAGTTATGGTAAAGTTGCAGGGAAGGTTGGAGTTGCTCAGAGGGGGAAGCTTAAACGAACTGCTCATCCGAGTTTATCTACGCAAATTAACAAAAAAATGCTAGCTTGCCAAGACCTTCAGTTTTTAAAGCAAACAAGGCTCGGCAAAAGTGTTCGAGTGAAAAATATTTCGAGGAGTTCTGAGGATAGAAGCAAAAAAGTTAGCACAATGGATACAAAGTCTATCAAACAAAAGGCTAAATGTCTTGATGAGCCATCTGTTGAAAAGCAAGGAGAAAAAAAACCAGGAGTGACTTTTTATCCATCTGTCGATGAGAGAGAACGTATCACTAGCCTCTCTGTGGAGAAGGAGGCTGTGCAAACTACACTTGTCTCTAGTTGTTCAGACTCAAGCAGAACAAAAGACTGTGATGTAATGATTCCTCGTGCGCTTATGAATTCAAGTCCATGTTCTGCTGCAGTTGTTGGAGATGCTAAAGGTAAACCAGAAGAAGGTTGCATCGTCCAGCCTGAATTTGGGATGACAACTTCAAAAGAAAATGAGTGCAAACCAGATGAAAACAGTGATGATGATGGTTTATTTTTAACTCAGTTAGATCCTGTGGATATGGAATTGTGTTCACAGGATGAAGATGCTGAAAACAATAATATAGCTACTATAAGAACAGAGGAAATGGAAATAGATAGCACTGAAAGCCTTCAGCAGAATGAGCCCTTGACTGTTGTGAAATGTAAGTACAAAGACTGTATGGGAAAAGTGGAAAAAATAGGAGACTGCTGTAGCAAGCATTCGTCCACCAATTCAGAATCAGATCACCTGTTTGCTAAGCCTTCTTCCCTGCCACCAAGAAAACCTTCCACTACTAAAATTTTCAGTTCAGTAAGTTCTTCACGAAATGCAGCCTTCAGCAAAGATCTCGAAGATGTTGAAAAACAACCACAAACTTTAAAAAGCAGAGCTAGCATTGCAAAACCTGCTGTGTTGAGACCACTGAGTGAAAAGATTACACCAACAAGAAATCAAACATGCAGGACTCCAAGTTCCAGTAATATTCCTCAACCTCGTATTTCTAATAATGTTCTCCAGCCACGAAATACACAGATCAACAATGCTTCAAATATTTCCAGAGGGCCTGTCCGAGCAGAGCACTATTCTTCTTTTCTTGGCGCTCAGCAGCACGATCATAATATTTTTGTTAAGGAGGTTCTGAAATGGACTTATGAAATGTTTGCAAACTCCATGCAGTTTGGACCTCCAAATTATCTCCTGCAATCTGTAGTCGCCTCTGTTCCCATCAGATTTCAGGGATACAATGACTATTTTAATACGTTTTTCCCCTTGATGATGCTAAATGCCTTTGAAACAGTAAGTTTGTCTTAGTTTGTTTTAATCAACTATAGCTAGTAAAATTTGGAAAGAGATATAAAACCGTTTTCTGTTTACATTACAAAAATGTTCTTGATTGGTTCAGATATTCATCTGAACACAGGAATGATTTGGGACAATTAAGGCTTTTTTGTCTGCATTCCCAACAACATGCAATAGGGGATATTAAAAGAATTGTTCCTCTTCATAATGTTTAGAGCTTAAAACAGCAGTTTTTTTTTTTGAAACGGAGGCTCTTCAATGACAGCCTCTGTGTTTAAAAAACAAAACAAACAAACAAACCAGAAAAAACTGTATGTTTTTAAGGTTAGTCATTGCTTTTCTTCTCCAGTTGAAATAAGACAAAAAAAAAAATTAAGTTAATACCAGGATAATGCTGGTGTGCGTGAGGATGCAAGGCAGAAAAATCCACATTTGTTTCAGAGGGCTGTGTAAGAAACATGTATTTAAAATGGCAGGAAAAGTAAAAGCATTTTTGCTTCCTGCATATATCTTGTGATTGACAGCACTTGGAGTTGTGATGAGCTGTTCTTCTGAATCCCTAAATCCTTCTAAGTGTTTTTATGTAGCTTTTACTTTCTAATACATAGCTGGTACAGGAGTGGGTAGAAAACCAGAAGATGAAAGACAAGACTTACTACTTCCACTTACAGAACTTCTGTGCGGATTTGAATACGGCAGAGTTTATAGGTAAGTGTGATGTTTGGTGTAATTTCTTTGTTTTGTTTTGCTTTTAAATGAAACTTTGTCTTTATTTAGACAGTGCCTAATAACAAGCAAAGTACTTAAAGGTAGAAATAAGCATCTGATATAAGCATTGAGTGTCATGTCAATTCAAAATAATTGTAGGAAGGTAGGGTTATGATTTTTTTTTTCTCTACTATTTATCTTTATTTTCAAAATACAGATATAGATGTATTGAGTGAATATAAGGTGTATTGTCTTACTGATTTTTTAGAATGTGATACATTTTGTTTGCTGATATGGTTCTTCAGCTCTGAAAGTGCGGTCTTGAGTCATGGAATTAGAGTAGCAGTGTAGTAGGAATCCAGACGTTGCTACTTCTAGTTTTTCTATCTGTTCTTGCCATGTAACTGCTAAGGGATCTCATCTCTATTCCTCTCACCTTTTCTACTGTGGTTGCTTCACCAAATGTATGAAGTTTTTATTTGCTTTATATACTGAAAGGATCTTTAATTTGTGCTTTACAGAATGTACCGACCAGAAATAAGCATTTTGCAAGGAACTTGTGCTTCATCTTGATTGGTTCAGTACAAAAGTTATTTGTATAGTGTTGGGATAGTTTCACTCATTTGGAATGTTGTTTCATCTTATTCTAGCAAATAAAATAATTCTTGACTTGTTTTGCTTTTACGTGGCTCAGAACAGTGCAGCATGGAGTTAGTCTCATAGTCTTCAGCTTTGTTAGAGTTAGACTGTGTTTTTGCAGTGGAAGCTTTCAAGATCAAGATATAGGCCATGATTCAATGTATAACTTTCTTATAAAATGGCTGCGTAGGTTAAAATGGCCACATAGATTGTTTTTCACAAGAAGGGCACCGAGAGGCAGAACAGGATGGAGGCTAGGATGTGCTGAACAGGGTAAGAAATTAATCCGAAGGGCTTGAGCAATGCCCACAGTTATCAAACATGAACAATATGAACTTCTGTGGAGGAGTACACACACTCACTGAAGAGGGAAAGGCTGCTCAATAAATGTAAATGTATAATTAAAGTTATGCTTGTTATCACAGGAGACGAGGTATCATAAATCAGGAACTGGGGCTTAGCAACCTTTTAGCTATTTCCTGATAAGAGTTTCTTTTTTCTTAAACATAGCTTTTGTAAGTAGTGAGAGATAAGGCAAAAATACAGAGCAGAGTAAGGAAGGTCTGACATAAGGACAGGTAATGACAGCTTCAAGAAATATTGCCCTCCTCTATCCATAGGAAAGTGCAAAGTGATCTTAATGGGCTGGTGATAGATCTTATGGAAAAATGGATTAGCAAATGTGTCATGTAGACTGTGAGCCTGCCCTACCTAGCCAGTAGGGGAGCAGGAGGGTAATTCTCTGCAATGAGAGAAAAGGTATATAATGAGAAGTGTTTCTTCTCCCTTGCCACAAAGAGGCACATGCCCACTATTGCAGTAACAACAAAAAAAACTTTGCTGCTTCACTGAGGTCTTTGCGTGATAGAAAATTGCTGATTCTGAGAATTTCCAACAGCTATCAAGTAGGTATTACTGAAATATGTAACATGTTAATTGTAGCATTTTGTTAGTGGGGTAGTAGTTGTGCCTGTTTTCCTTTTAAACAATTCTAACTTTAAAATGTATTTTTGTGTAGCTCGTTTTGAGGAAAGTGATTTGACAAAGCAGCTCCATCCGAAGGAGGATGACTTAATCTTTCTGGTGGGCCAGAAAAAGAAAGATGCCTTTGGGGAAGACAGTGAGGTGGAGGACCACCTGGTGAATCATGTTGGTCTTGTGAGGCGATTTTCTCGTGCATCTGGCTGCTTAACCAGTAAGTAATTGGGGCAAAAATAAAAATGATACCATGAAATGCTTCTTTAGAGCCAGTTGATGAGGGATGTAGCAGTTACCTCAGGAAATACTGTTGTTTCAGCTCAGCGTGTCAGCATGCTTACTAGAAACTTTTTAAAAAGCCAGCAGCTGAATATACAGACTTGGTTGGCTTTTCTACATTGGTGCATTTTCTACAGACTTCAATACACATGTTCTTACTTTTTGTAAGAGCAGAAACTCATAGGTAAGTGCTGTGCATCTTTAGGAGTGCGTTGTTGTTAGATATGAGGTGTCATGAATTGCTGTGACATCACTGCATAAAATCTTCACGGTCCTCTGTAACTTGAGCTGTGAAATGCAAGGTTTACCAAATATCAAGAATAATGCTGCCCAAAGAAAACAGTTATTTTGGCAAGAATTATTTGTCTAATAGAAGACAGCTCCTAATTCTGACAATATTTTTATGTAACTTGTTTGAATATCTTTCAGTAATCATTTTGAATATTCTTTGAATTAACAATTTTTATTGTCATTTCTCCTCCCTTCTCTTCTAATAGGACAAATGGAGCAACATATTGTCTGTCATCTTTCTGTACAAACTCAAGGAAATTTGTCATTCTTCATAAATAGTCAAATGAAGTGTGTGGTGGTTGGTTCCTTAGTGCCCACACAGCGATCATTCAAAGGTCTGCTACTACTGAGCAGGAGTCCCCTGGCTAAACCCATCATAAATCCAAGCTACAGTGATTTCTGTCCAAGAGATTTGCCTGTAGCTTCAGAAAATGCTGTAAGTCCTATGCCTAGGGAAAGTGATAGGAATGGTAGGCGGGCAATTGGATCTTGTGAATTTTGCAAAACTGATTCTGCATGCTGATTTTGGAGGTGACCAAGGGCGAAAAGAAAGGTTTCAAAAGCACTGAGTCACTCTGGTTTTCAGAGTTGCTTGATTGGGTGAATAGAGATGATGCTGAATTTGTTGAGGTGCAACGGAACACCTTTGTTTCTTTGCTGGAGTGGTCTGTTCAGGGAATAAAGTGTAGAGTAGGAAAGGTAATGCAGTTTTATAGAGGAAGCATCGCTACAACTTTTCGATCAGGATTGAGTATGTGTCTAAGAGCAAACCTACTATCAAAAGCTTCCATGCACTTTGATTTTGTGAGCCTTAGCTAAGGGAACATTCTGGGATTATATAATGCTTAATCAGCATTAAGTCAGTATTTTCCTGTCGGTTCCTTCAGACGTTTTGTATGAATGAATACAACGAAGATCAAAAGAGAGCCATTGAAACAGCTTATGCCATGGTAAAGCAACATCCAGGGCTTGCCAAAATCTGTCTTATCCATGGACCACCTGGAACTGGGAAGTCCAAAACTATAGTTGGACTTTTGTCTCGTGTTTTGAGAGAGGTAGGTGAATGTGATGTAGCCATCCTGTGTGGGTGTTTGGTTTCTCAATGCAAGTCAGTGGTAGCTTAAGCTAAATGGAAGAGTGGCAGTGATAATGACTAGGGATGCAGTTCATTAAACTGCATTAGTTAAACCAGAACAGAATAGGCTGTAATGGCGGAAATAGTATTTTTTGGATGCTTTGGAAAACATTTGCTTCACAGAACTTAGAGAATTAAAAAAGAATATAAATTTGCTGAAAATACGTTTTATTAAAAGTAATACATCAAAGTATTAAGATATTTTTAACAGTGCTGTTTGACCTGACCAGTTTAATGGTTTTTGTATTAGCATCCCTCAGATAATTGTTGAAGGGAGCTCGTGGAAATGATATTTGTTTGAATGAAGTGCTGTACTCAATGTGAGGTCTACCTTAAAAGAGTTTAAGTAACACATACCTATACTCTGCATGCTGATTAGGTTGAATGTGCTGTCTGACTTCTGAAATACAAGTGGAAACAATCTAAAGAGCCTGTCTTGGTTTATTGTTAATTAATCTCCAGAACACTAGGAATGAGAAAACAAGTAAAAAAAATGCCAGGATGAAGCAGAACCGTTTTCTGGTTTGTGCACCATCCAATGCTGCGGTTGATGAACTCATGAAAAAGATCATCATTGCATTTAAGGAAAAATGCCAAAACAAACAGGAGCCTTTGGGTAAGGCTTATTTTAAAAAAATTAAAAAATCTGTTTCTGTGTTAAGTAGACAAAACCAGTTGTTGCAATTTCTCCTTCAGGTTAGGTGTAATACTTCTGTGTTGCTCTGTACAGCTGTTTTCTTTTGCAGACCATGACTGATGCTGCATCCTTTTCCCACTGTTAGTTTGCTTTTTAAAAAAGATGTATTTTTTTTTTTAAGTAAACTGCACTTTATGTAGACATTTACCCTTTCTTCTTAGTGTTATTATCAAATCACCATATTTAAGTAATTAAAAATTTAAATATAGTGTTACCAGTACTGCTGTTGTTACACTTATTTATTTATTTCCCCCACCCTCTCAAACTGAAGTGCAAAGATGATTAAAGCAATCTTAAAAGTAATTTGGGTCTGATTTTTGTAAACAGGAAACTGTGGTGATATCAAATTAGTGCGACTGGGTGCTGAAAGATCAATCAACAGTGAAGTCCGGGCTTTTAGCCTGGATAAGCAAGTTGAACATAGAATGAGTAAGTAGCGTGCAAATTTGGGCTTTTCTTTACGTTTTATTTAAGAGCTGGATGATGTTATATGCTTGGGACTGTATGTCCTTCAAAAAAAAAATCAGATGTAAGATTTTCTTTCTGCAATGGCACGCATTGTGCCAGAGTGCTTCATAAGCATTCAGAGCATGTGTGGCCTAAGATCTAAGTAAAACCCCTGGAAATTAAGCAACACCATGTCTTGTCCATTTTAAAGAAATAATAACAAATGCGTGTTAAAGCCATTCTTTTTAAGCAACATTACTATGCAGCATTTGAGAGCTACAGTTGAAACCAGGAAAAGTGCATCATCTTCATTTTATTGTCCAAGATAAAAGACTTCGATAGGGAAAAGGAAACTGCAACAAAAAGTGACTTTCTGTTCATTGTTAATGACGTAATGCTGTTATTGTAACCAGTTGAACTATTCCCCCTGCTGGTTTTCCTTCAATTTATTATAGAACGAAAGCCAACTGACCGGGACCAGGATATTCAGAAGAAAAAAGCAGCTCTGGATGAGAAGCTGGACATGCTTTCTCGTCAGCGTGCCATGCACAGATGTGAAAAGAGGGAGGTAATAAATTGACCGTGTTATATTTGTTTGGGTGGGTTTCTTTTTTTCATAACTGTATCCAAAGAGTGAAAAATGCTTTCTTTTAAAGACATCCAAGATAAGGAATGAGGAACTTCAGGTTTGGTTTTTTTTCCTGTTTATACTGATGTTTTCAGCTACGCAGTTATGGAACTTACTGCTCTAATGCCCAGCAACTTTCATTTGGTTCTGCCACCCTTTAGTTCTCAGTGCAACCATATCTATTAATTATTTAATTTCATTGTGTGCTTCAAAGCTTTGTTTTGTTTAACGGGAAGTGGTAAGATGACTTTAAATTCTGACATTTGAAATGTTTTGCGCTTGGAAGTTTTCCATCATCTTGCCTAAAAAGTTGGCATTTGTTTTCAAGTTACAGATTTCTAAAGGTAAACCATTTTTCTGTTTGCACAGAAATGTGAGAATGCAGTATCATGTGTTGCAAAGTGTGAATATGTTGACAATTTTCTGAGGAAACTGATCAACTTCTTCAGACATGTTTGATATTTAGAGACAGTCTGGACCAGTCTAAATGATCAATTATAGTATGGGAAGAAGAAAGATAAGTAGAACATGTGCTGTTAATTATTCCTGATATTATGTGGATTCTTTTTTTTTTCCTCATGTAGAGTCAAATGCTAGATGATGAAATTGGCAGACTTTCAAAGGAGAGACAGCAACTTGCTTCTCAACTGAAAGAGGTAGGAATTTATCTGCAGGGCTCTTAATAAACCTCAGGTAATGTATTTGGATACTTAGTATCCTTTAATTGTGGTGAAGATTTGGATTTGATGTAGCTGGCAGTGTTTATAAGTAAGTGAAAAGGTAAAAGACAAGCTGCTTTAAGTTATGGATTGCCAGATGTGAGTACTGTGGCTGTTGTGTTGAGGAGAAAAATGATTTGAGAATTCTCTCTTAGCGAGTGGATTTAAAAGGAAATGTGGCATATTGGGTGAAGAACATAAAAATGAGCTCACAACCTTCATTTAATTTAACCTACATCCATCACCACTTTCATGCCTCTTGCAGTCCTGCTGGAGCTGAGGTATGCTTAAGCCTTTCTAAGGAAAGTTGACAGCCAGAGATTTTGTGCGTGGAAGGGGGGAGTGCCAATCTGCACTTTCAAACCTGATAGCAAACACACAGTTAGATTGCATAATTGTAGAGGCAAAAGTTTGCCACTTCAGTAGGATTGATCTGTGATTTTTAAAGTGAGAGTACTGCTTAGAGTCAGCTTTTGTGACTTCCATTTGCAATCATGGAGATAAGTTTCATTGGGATAATCTATTACTCGTGTTTGGTTTGGCAGCTAGAACTGTCCCGGCGGTTAAAAATTGCTTGAGGGTGGTTGATGAAAGCAAAAAGAGAAGAGAATACATGGTGTTCTGTTGTACTTGAAGGTTCGGGGACACTCTCAGAAGGTACAGACAGATATCATCTTGGAGTCTGATATAATCTGCTGCACACTGAGCACAAGCGGAGGAGGTCTGCTGGAATCTGCTTTTTGGCGACAAGGACTCGATCCTTTCAGCTGTGTCATTGTGGACGAGGTCAGTAAAGCTATTTAGAATTTCATCTTGTTCCGTGCTTGAAGTCTTCCTTGTTCTCTGCTTAGGCTACTTGTGGCTGTTTGCTGATGTAATATGATCTGGGCTGACTACCCTGTCCCCACATTTTATCTGATAGCCAGCCTGTTCTGCCAAACAGAACGAGAAGAAAGAATAACTACTGATTGCTTCTTTTTACTGACTTGGCTGTCACTAAAGCATCACACAGCTTTTATTTAAAAATCATGGCTCAAGTATGGTTCTTGCTATAGAGATTTGTATACTACTGTGTTATGTTCATATTTGATATGATTATATCTGTTTGGGAAGCTCTGCATGTTTAATAATAAAATAATAATCTGGTTTGAGTTTTTACTAGAGAATTTTTTTAAGCATTTTTTTGTTAAATCTAACTGGTATTACAGAACACTTTAAATACCTCCACTCCTTTGCTTACAACTTGTGCTTTTTTGTCCTATTCATGTGTACAAAAGGCAGGGCAGTCCTGTGAAGTTGAAACACTGATTCCACTGATTCATCGCTGTAATAAACTTGTCCTTGTTGGAGATCCCAGGCAGCTCCCTCCCACAATAAAATCAATAGTAAGTGTTTAAACTGTATTTTTTTTTTTGTACTATCTAGTGGGTATAGTGTAAGGACCATGTAAAAAAAAATATATAAAAGATAAAAAAAGAAACACTTTGAAGTCAGATCACGGTGTCTGTCAGGTTACAGCATTTTATACTGCCAAGTAATTTCTGTTTAGTGTGTTACGAGGAGCCTGTATTGATATTGCCTTCAGATGTCTTAGTGAAGCTGATGTTGATGTGAGCGTGACTTCTGTAGACTTGCAGCTAATCTCTTGCACCAGTAAGAATAGCTTATGGTAGCACAAACTTCCATGCAACCTGGCACTTCATTTGTGATTGACTGTGCACTGCTGCAGGCTCTGTTGTGTCATTGTGAGCTTCATCCACTGTCACATTCCTTAAGGGGTGCAGGATTAGGATGAAGGCTACTGTTTGTGTGAGGGCTTTCTTACCCTATCAGTGTGTTCTAAGAATGAACATACAGGAACTCTTTATTTTGCATCTAGCAATAGAGAGAAGTCTTTTAAACATCTGACAAAGAAAAGAGGAAAAACAGACTGCCTTTTTTAGAAGCACTTTTTTTTTTTTTTTTTTGGAACTTAAGTGCTTATTTAGAGGTCCCAGCTGGGAGACCTCACTTTTTGTTATTACTGTGCTTAAAATTGCAGTATTTCAGAAAGGATAGATGCAAATGTAAAAAATGAAGTACAAGTGTTGTCATTTCATCAGTGTTTTAGAACTTCAAAATATCAAATAGTTTCAAGTCGAAAAAGCAAATTTTTATCGTTAAATTCAGACCTAATTCCTCAGAAATCACTCATGTTTCCTTCTGACAGAAAGCTCAGGAATATGGCTATGGTCAGTCCTTAATGGCACGCCTACAGAGACACCTGGAAGAACAAGTGCAGAATAATCTTATACGACGTCTGCCAGTTGTGCAGCTGACTGTGCAGTACCGAATGCACCCTGACATCTGCCTTTTCCCATCCAGTTATGTTTATGGCAGGACTCTAAAGACTGACAAGTGAGTAGCTGTCTGTTCTGATTTCTGAGCACTGGGGATTTCAAACAAGCCTTTTCATATCAGGATTTTTTTTTTATTTTAAACATTCTTCAGGTTGTGGGGAAAGATGCTTAGTGGGAGACTGGCATTTAATCTCTTAGTGCTTGCTGTTATACATAACTAGTTCACTCAAAGAGGATCGTACTCTTTGCTGCATGGAGTTCATTTTTAGGTTTCAATTTATCCAGGTAACAGTGAAAATTAAGAGCTCTGAGAAATAGCTGAAGGTCGCTTTTATGAAAACGATGGTGAAAATAAATGATGCATCAGTTTCTTGTGGTTACCTAGTGATGAAACTTATTTACAGAGCAACAGAAGAGAACAGATGTTCTTCAGAGTGGCCATTCCAGCCCTATCTTGTTTTTGATGTAGGAGATGGCCGTGAGGAGCGTGACAAAGAGTAAGTCTTGCAGTCTACTCTGCCAAATTGTACATGTGCTGAGCATCAGTTACCAGCCAAAGAGTTGTGTTCTTTCCTGTATTGTTTCCAGTGTGCATTAAGTAACCAGAACTGCATTTTCAACTTGGTTTGATTTATGGAAGAATTTTGCTGGAAGCAGGTGTTGATTTGTGGTGGTGGGNNGGGGGGGGGGTTTATTTACTTACCTGAATATAGTTTTAATTCTGTTGTGACTGTCTGCTAGATGCCAGTGAATCCTTACTGTTTATGCTAACTCGAGAGATGGTTTGAGTTTCTGATGTATTTTATTTATTTTTAATTTTTAGTTACTATTTCTTCACAGCTGCATGCTGAGGTAAGACCAGAAGATGGCAGGCTCGGTCCTCCCTTTTGTATGTTCTGTGAGGAAAGCAAAGCTATATAATTTTAAGGGAGCCTGAAGTGCAGCCTTTCATGGTTAACATTTCTCGTTGTTAGTACCTTGTCAGGGCCTGCTTGTAAAGGTCTTTGAACATCTGTATGAAGGAAGCTCTGAAAGTTCCAAGGGAGTCTTTGAATCTCAATTCCACTTCCAATTTGGCTGAACTGTTGAATTCAGAAGCTGTCAAATGTATTTTTTTTTTAACATTTCCTTCATTTCTTGTTCAGCTCTTTTAGTAATCCCCAAGAAGTGAAATTGGTGTTAGAAATAATTAGAACAATTAAAGAAAAAAGGAAGGATCTAGGTCTTCGTCGCATTGGAATAATTACACCTTATAGTGCACAGAAAAAGAAAATTCAAGAGGAACTAGACAGAGTGTTCAGGAATAACAGGTAAATAAACCATGATGTTTTGAATGGGAAGTGACTCTTGTGTATTAGTCTTTTGATTATCCTCTTAAAATCACAGCAAAAGCTTTAAAATTTCTGTGTGTACTGCCAAAATCTGCACTTGGTAATGTTTTTAAAAAAGGACACTACCAACCTTTTCTCTTGAAACAAATGTGGTCTCTTTGTACCATTTCTTAGTTATTGCTTGTCTGTGTGCTTTGATTATATTGCTGTTCTGAGTGTAGCTGACTTGAAAGAAAATCTAAAATTCCAAGTGATGTGGAACTGAACAGCTTTTTAGCAGTGATCTTGGCCTCAAAAAAGGAAATTTTGCTTTATATTCATACACTGCATCTTCTCAAGTTCAGAAGCAGAAACTTAGTTTGAGTAGTTCTGACAGCTGATCATTCAGGATAGCTTAGGCCATTTGCATCAGTGTGTTGCTTAAAAATCCAACTAACAACTTAATGACTTGATTAATATTTTCTTCAACAGCCCAGGAGAAGTGGATACAGTGGATGCATTTCAGGGACGGGAAAAGGATTGCATCATAGTGACGTGTGTCCGGGCAAACAGCTCCAAAGGGTCAATTGGGTATGTCCATCTCCAGTGATTTCCAAGTCTCATTTCCAATAACACTCTAGATTCTGTCATTATATTTTCTACATTATCAGTAGAAAAGTTATTAGAGAACAAGTCACCACAGCTAGCAGATGAAAAGCCATCTGCATGAATTGACGTTAGTGGTTTGACACCCCCCCCTAAATAGGGTGTGGGAAACACTAAGTATGTTCTGCATTATATGCTGATGAATGCACGTCTGTTTTAGCCTGTCATTGTTTAGTTTTGGTAGGCTCCTTAGTGTACTGCAGGACTTTGCTTTTAGCTTTTACTCTGTACTGTGGTTTAACATTTTTTGTCACCGTTGTTATACTGTTAATACAGCATTCTGTCTGTAAAAGCACTGCCAACTAGTTACGTAGTTTGGGAATGTCATGCAGAGCAGCTGTATCTTTGATTTGTAGAGCAGCATGCCTACGTTGATATGCAGGAAGTCTGGAATTAAGCTTGCAGATTTGATAGTTTATGTAGGTTCTTTCCAGTCTGAAACAGAAGGAACTGAATGCCAGGTGTACTGTTTGTCCCTCCAGACAACAGTTACACAGTTGTTAATTTACTTTAATTTACTTGAATAATATTCTCCGTAGCTCACTGATTGCTTCAATTTAGAAATGGCAGTAGTGTGCTGCGTTCTAGTTCATTAGCTTTTAAATTAATCTATGGGAAGGCTGTTCACATAAACAGAAATCTTTGTTTCCGCACACCAGGTTTCACTAAGCTGTTTATGCTTTTCTGGTACTAATTTCCTAGTTGTTAGCTTAAGGGCTTTTAATTGTGTTGACCTGTGCTGCTTTGGGAAGGATAAAAGACCCAAATTGTGTTAAACAATGATGCTTTCTGAAGGTGTCTTAATCTAGTTGATTGAGATTGGAAACTGAAGGCAGCTAGAACCTGCCAGTACTTCTGGCTGGCCTGGGACATAACCTCTATCTGTTCTTTCAGAACAAAACTTTGCAACTTACTGTGCTGGAGATTTACATAATAAAACTTTGGCAGTGGTATGCCTTAAAAGCTGTATGTACTGATGAGTTGGATATCTCTGCTACAAAGTCAAGTGTCATTGGCAAGATGTGCTGGGAAAGTTTGCCATCACCATTACTGCTGATCTCTTAGCTGACCAAAGTATTTTGGTCTCCAAGGTTGCTAGTCCAGCATTAAATTTGCTCTGAAAGTACCTTGCAAAAGGAGGAAAAAACTCTCCAAAGACACGATGGTTAAAGGATTTTTTTCCTTTCCTTAGACCGAACCACCTGTCATCTTTTTTGCTGTTAAGACTATGAAGTTCTTTCAAAACCACTTTTTTTTTTTCTTCTTCAAGACCTGTAGATCTAAATCATCTGTGCTGTTGGGTCTGCTCCCCTTCCTCTGTCCTTTTTCACTCAGTGGTCAAATCTTCTGGTGTGGTTCTGTGACTTCTGTAGTCTTTACTGCAGGTATTGTGGATCAGCAGCATCATCACCGTGCTATTAGGCACTGATGTTGGATCTATTCAAATTAAGTTGTGCAGAGACTTGTCTTTGAATTGCAAACTTTGTTAGTACAGAATAAGCTGTGCATTTGGGGAACTTTTTCATTAGGGGAGGAATATAAGTTTCATAACTGAGAGATGTTTTTGTTTTTTTCCACTCTGAGGATTTGTTGGGGAAGAAGCTCTAACAGAAATCAGTGTTCAAGAATACACTTAACATTTATTTGTAGGTTTCAGCGTCTTGGTTTGTGATCCCACGGAAACAGGCTAGGTAATCTCATGCTTGCAACATGAATATTTTCTTTTGCAAGGGTTGTGCTTTTTTGATCTCGAAGCATGATTTAGCAGGTTTTCCTTCATATTCTGCCAGAGTAATTCACCTTTAAAATAAAATCTGGAAATGTTCAGCGTTTCAGTAGAAATTTTTTCCATTAATCATGCCGAATATTATTAATCTATTTCAGTTCAGGTCAAAAAGAAGCTTAAAGTCTTGATAGGTGAAGTGAGGTTGATGACTTCTGTACTTTGAGGAACATGTAAGGAAGCAGTAGTTGGCGTTAAGAGGGGATTTGCACTAAGAAAGGAAACATCGATGGTAAGAGGTGGAAAGGACTGGAATTCCCTGCAAGGCGTCAGTGGAGAAAGAAGAAAAAGCAATTCATCTGAAGCCCTTCGTGTAAAGCAGGGCTGCAGTGGCATCTGGGAACGGGTCATGGGCTGCTTCTGTTGTCTTCACAGATTTCACATGTATTTCACATTAACTGAATATTTCCTTACCACTGTTAAGTCTCTTCCAAGAAGTAGTTCAGGAGCTTCATTTTGTCATGTCTCCTAGGTTTCTGGCAAGTCTTCAGCGTTTGAATGTTACAATTACCCGAGCCAGATTCAGCCTCTTCATCCTTGGAAGACTGAAAACACTAATGGTAGGTACAGTGTTAATCAAGTGATTGTAATCTACCCTTTTAGGTCGAGTCAGTATTTTCAGTAACTAAATTATAACACAGGTCTCTACAGTTGAAGAACGGAGTCTTCAAAGATAGGCAGGATAAAACGATGGCAGAGATGTTTTCCTTCTTGATCCTTACTGTTCTTCCACTTATTGCAGTTGTCATAGGATTCTAGAGCAAGGAAAGATTAAAAACTGCAAAACACCCCCCAAACATTCCCCTGATGTTCAGATTGTTTTTGACGCTACTCTGTATAGCCATGTGGTTTCTGAGGATACTATTTGGTGGTATTTTTTGAAACAAATGTTTTTGAAACAGATAAGCATATTTTGGGGGAGCGAGGGGGTGTCATAAAGGTTCTATGAAATGTGCAGAAGTACTCTTGAATAGACTGTGTCTTATTGTTTCTGGTTTTAATTCCTTTTTCCATTGCAAGGGGGGTTAGCTACATCACTAGGGGGCATTAGACCCACATTTCACACTGGAAATACTCTAGGCCTTCATAGATGCAGAAATTATCACTTAAAGAGTAGTTCAGATTGCTGAAAGTAACCTTCCCTGTGTTACAGCAGCCAGAGTGCCTATTGCTGTTTTGCCAGTGAAAGTTTAGATCCTTCTATTCCAGAAGGAACATTTTGTGGTTTACGTTACGGTTGTCAGGTACCTTGATTGAAGGGGTTTTGTATCCTCCAAAACCTCTGTCCATGTGTTGTTTTCCTTCTGATAAATGTTTTCTTTTGGTGTGGGTGGGTTGTTTTTCTTTTTTACAATTAAGGAAAATAAAGACTGGAACGAGTTGATTCAGGACGCTCAGAGAAGAGGTGCAATTATCAAGACATCAGACAAAAGCTACAAGAAAGATGCACTTAAGATTCTGAAGCTCAAACCAACACCACAGAATCCCCCATGCCAGCTTCCCACCAAAGCGGGGACAACGAAAACTCCTCTGGCAGAGGCTGCTTCTTCTAGTAGGAAGGTGGCTGAGCCTGCAAATCCAAGGGAGGCCAGCAGACCACGGGAACTTGCTGCTGGTCCTGCCCATGCAGTGCCACAGGGAAGCAGAATGTCCCAGCAGGCACAGGGAACTCAGGTTGCAGACTCCCGGAGAGCCAGCATCTCTGCACCAGTGCAGGCTGCAGCACTCCCTGCTGATAAAGAGAAACCGCGGGACCCAAGGCTGGCAAGTATGGCCAGCAGAACTGAAACGAAAGGGAAGGAGCAGGACCCAAAACACAGCAGTCAGTCAGCCCAGAGCAGTCGAGAATCAACGCTGCAGCAGCGTCTGGATGTGTCCTCAGCTGCCAGGGATCAGATTTCCAGAACGGAACCTTCTAAGAAGCACCAACAAACAAAGGGGCAGTGTGACATGCCTTCCACGTTGCCTTCCACAGCTAAACAAGAGGGTGAGACAAGAGCTCCATTGCCAGAACGCCATTCAAAAGCCAGCAGTGAAAGAGGTCAGTGTAATAGCAGTAAGTGGAACAAAGACCCACGTACTTCAATGAGGAGAACATCGGAGTCGTCATCAGTGAGCACAGACTCCAGCAGTGCCAAGCGAAGAAGGATCTCTCACTGACTTCAGTACTTCAGTGTTGGCTCGTTACTGAAAATCTATTCCCAGGTTTCTATCTAACAAAGAATGTATTTTAAAATATTTAGTACACCTGGAACTCTCTTACAGTAATACTACTGCTGTCAGAAGATCCATCATTTTAAATGTCTCTAGTTACAAAAGGGACTATATCTGGCAGTTAAGAGCTTTGGAAGAGAAAAGTTGGAGAGTTGCATTACTTGGAATGGCAGTGAATTTTGTCATCTAGGAAGTTAAGGTTGTAAATGTTGTATATTTGTACAGTATGCAAAATTATTTTAAGATTTAATTGGGCAAATATAACTTTTCATTTCCTTGTGCAAATGCAGATTTCTTAGCTATGTGATTTTTTTTTTAATGAACAAGAGCAAAGTATAAAAACAAGCAAAAAAAAAATAACCCAGACCTAATCTTACCAAAACAAAAAAGAGGGGAAAAAAACAAAAAACAAAAAAAACAGCCAGACTGTTTTCCTTTTGTACCAGTAAGTCTAATTTATTTAATAGAAAAGTGTGTGTGTTGGTAACGTGGTAACGATGAGTCTTCCTCGTGTTCCACTAGTGCCTCAGGGAAGGCTGAAGGCAGATGTACGTTGGTTGAATGAAGAGAATTCTACTTATTTTGTGTATTTTATTGCCTGTTTTTATAGGAACAGAAGAGCTTTCGTTTATATAAATGTGCCTTGAGTTTTGCTCTTGCTGCTTCGTCAGCTGGAATCCTTTTCCTCTTGCAGTGGCAGTACAAACTGCAGATTAAAGCCTGGGAGGTCTGTTTGAACCCAGTGAGTCCTTGTGATGAATAATCCACAGGACTGTGGAATCTGAGTCAAAGATCTAGTTAACACTTATTGATAATGACACTTAAGTTTCTTTGTATGTTGCTCTTGGAGATCTAGAGATAAGAAAGAAGAAGCGGTTCATTCTAAGTGTTACTACTGGATTCTTCTCACTGTTGATGAAGAAGAAGTAACCAGTAAAATGAGGTTGCAGGGGGGAAGAAATACCTATTTTTAAGAAAGCATCCTGTCATCATTAACATTTCACAATAAAAGTGGAATTATTTCTCTTAAGAATGAAGTATTAATTTTTCTTCTGGAATACAACGCGTCTGCCTTAAGCAAGTGAACAGTAATGCATGCAGTTTTGCATGGAGATAGTCTTGCATGCTTCTGCCCACGAGTGTGGCACCTTGCTGCAGTAGCATGAGTTAGGGGTTTTGCTTGCAAGCCAGGTTGCTATCTCCAGGCTCTTGTGTTCAATTTCAGTGCTTTGTGAACCAGGTTGGTATCCTGCCATCCCTTTCTAACTCTGACTTAGAAGGGCAGTTTGTACCATGACTGCTGTGGCCTGATGAGATCTGAGACCTAAAAAGAAACCAATGTTACCTTTGTGAGTGAGCTCTGATAAGTGAATCTTGCACCTGAAATGGAAGCATTGTCACATAATTGGGGGGCAGGTTCTGGTAGGGTGAAGTACTGAAAAACATACACTTAAGCAGTATGTGGGGGTGCTTTTGGTTCCGTAATGGCAATGGCTTTTCCTGAGCAAATGAGCTGCTAGATTTCTCTGGCCAGACTTTAACCATCATCATATTTCTGTTTCTGTCCTGACACATTCATTGCAGTGATTAGTGCTACCTTTGTTCTTTTATCCTGCTGCCAGAGTGGTGTGTGATCCAGTTCAGTGACACACAAGTGGCTTACTGAACAAAATGGTGTAGCAGTTCAGGTGGTAATTGATGCTGGGATAGCTTGCATGCTTGATGTATCCAGGCTCAGAAAAATGTGCTTTAGTAGCAACAACTGCATTGTAGGTGTGCTGGGAGGCTGTTAGTCACTGTGCCTGTCCCCTTCACTGGGCTGTATAGTGCGTTTAAGATGATGGGAGAATTCTGACCTTTGGGATGCCTGTGAAGGGAAAGCAGAGTATGCATGGTGTTCAGCTTCAGTTATTCTGTGTTGCAATCTTAATTGTTTCAGTGAACCCCGACCTTTTCTTCTCAGCAGTATATGCACTTCTAAAACTGCTGTCACTCTTCCTCGATGTTGCACACTGTGTGTGAGAATGAAGGCTGCTTATTTTACTGCCATGAACTGGGCAGTTCTGTCACTCCCATGTTATAGATAGCACACTGGGCTGGATTCTCCCTTTAAGTCAATAGGAACACTTAAAATACCTTTGTCTTTTAAACCTGTTGGCTCTGCTTGCTGGGGCTGTGTTGACCTGTCTTCTGTTTTTTCACACATTAAAAAGGCTACTGTTCTGCAAGCTGCTGAAAGACCCTATAGCTGTGGAAGCTGTGAAGTCTGTCTTTCTGTAAATAAAACAAAGCTGGCAAGAGTGTGAATGAGAGGAAGCTTTTCTGGCCATTAAATAGAAGTTTGTCAAGGGAATTTTCTCTTAAGGCTTCTCCTCTTGTTTTCTTTCTGCTTAAGCATTCTGTATTTCAGAGCATGTTTTCTTTTGAAACTGTACTTACTCCATGCTGGAAGGAATTTTGTTTTAACATTGCGTTTTTTTTCTTGTATTACGTACGCATATAAGTCATGTGATTTTATAATTTGTGTTTTTCCATAAATCATCTTTGAGGTGTGGTCAGTGGCTCAGGCATTTTTCTTATTTAAAACTAGTTTTATTTTTGTCTGATGTAAGTTCACAGCATCACGGAATTGCAGAGGTTGGAAGGAACTTCAAGAGATCAACAAGTCCAACCCCCCAAACTGTTGATCTTTCAGCAGTAGCTTTTTCCTCCCGTTGTCAGCCTGTGCCATTAAGGGAATGAAACTGTGTGGTTGGCAGCCTAATTCTCAGTGCAGGAAAGTTCCTGGTGTGATGCTATTGGTCCTTGACACCACAGAGAAGGCAAAATCCCTTGTGTGAGCACAGGGCTGTTTTCAGAGGTTTCAGTCCTTTGGTTGTACATAAAGCAGCCTTTCCAGTAGAGGTGAAGTGTAACTCCATGCCATTACTCCAAACCATAGCTGTATCTATACTGATGATATCCAACCTAGGGCTTCCCTGTTCAGTTCTCCTTACCTGTGTATCATTGCACGTGCAGTGTGCAGTTGAGTGCTTATGGAAGGATGCCTTTGCTAGCTATACCTACAGATATCTGCCAACCCACCAGAGGAAGGCAGGCAGTTTGCTGGAGCATTATCCCACTCTGGAGAAAAAACTGGGGGGAGGGGGGGCATTATGTTTCTTGTTGTGGTAGCAGTGGCAAATATGGCTGAGTAATGCTGAGAGCAGGTGATATCTGTGATGTGGGTGGTAGTCATGGGAGCAGTGCAGTGCTGCTGAGGGGGAGGCCGAAGCAAGACCCAAAACCATCAGCATCTCTTCCCAGACTCTTGTCTACATTCACATTTCGGTGCTGGTGGTACTGGTGAGGTGTGAGGGGTTACAGTACTGGCTCACAGATGAGCTGTGTGTAATTAGCAGCCGGATCCAGTAAATGAAGGCACAGGAATTGGGAGACAGCTGTGCCCAGAAAAACTGTTTCCAAACACTGAATGAGTTTAAATGTTGTTAGCCTCAGGTGAGATCCAAAAAATAACATCGAAACCCAATGATTTAAGAGACTTTATTTTTGTAGTTACTGAAGTGTGGTGAGGTGTTGCAGTTTACTTTTTGCCTATAGAATGGAGAGAAGTGGCCAACAGCTAGAGGTGGGTTCTTTATTCACAGCCTATGGACTGTGACAATACCAAGAGTAAGCAGAACCGTGGTCCTAAAAATGCAAGGCGTTCTCTCTAGTCTGCATGAATAAATGATGGATGAAATGGCTGCTGTATTGTAAATGGAATTTATAATGTTAACAATATAATACAGTCTCTTGCCACAACGAGTCCGTTCCCAAGTCGTATATTAGGTCTCCTTTCTTGTCTTTAAGATGCTTGGGAAGGAGCCAAATGCGTTATTCTTTAATACAAATAAATGTAAGCTAAGCAGACCTGTACGTTGAATGTTGCTGATACATGAGACCTTCTAGCCATATGTTCCTGATTGCTGAGGTCTCGACTAATTTGCCGCCAGCTCCCAGGCAAATAATGGTGGAAATGAAAATGAAGGTAGGCTGAGTACGTTCAGTACAAAGAAAGGGCAGAAAGCTTTGTTGTATGGCCTGACTGACTACGTTGCTTTGTCCCGATTTCACTGCTTTACCAAGCAAGATCTCCTTTCTCGGCTACAAAGAGAGCTTCCCATCTCTTTACTTGAATCCCTGAAATTGCATGGAGTAGAGTAGGGTGGAGCTCTTGGACCTCTGTTGTGTTGTAGGCCAGGAGAAAACAGCAGTGTGGTAAAAACGGGTTTATCTTTAGGCTTTCCTCACACGTCTCACCCTGCAGTGAAACTTGTTATGACACCTAGAGAATCAAAATGATAAAAGGAGCCCTGAGGACAGTCTAAAGCTCTTCTCTGCATCTGAAATCCGTGTGTGATTCCTGCACGACAGCGGCTGAACGCCCCAAATCTCTGCCAGGAGTGCTGAGAAGATGGTGATGGAAATCTCTTCAGAACCCAGATCTGCTCTTATTTCTGACAACACCGCTCAGCTCCCCCCTTTGACTTTATTTGGGATGCTTCATGGAAGCTGCTTACGGAATAAAAATGGTTGGTGGGATAGTTAGCACTTTCTGCCACTAATGGATTGCTTTTCCACTGGCCTGCATAGGGTCACAAATCGCTCTCAGAGGTGAGATGTCTGCTTCCCCATCTTTAAAGCAAAAAAACAATGGAGAACCAGCATACCTGGTAAGTTCCTATAGGCAGAATTTTTTTTTCCCTCGTTTCTGTGTCCAGCTCACGTGGACGTGTCACACTTCTGTTTGGTGAGCATGTAAATGTGCAGGAAGCCAAACTGCTGTAGGCTTCTCTACAGCTGGGTCTTTCCTCCATCACATCAGGCAGTTTTTGTTGTCTGGGGCTTTTGATTTCAGTACTTTCAATAGTTAAAGAAGAATTTGAGGTAAACAAGTAAAATCAAAAGCTCTACTTGTACTGTTTGAAGAGGTCCCCTTTTTGCAGACAGGAGTATAATCTAAAAACTTTTTTAAAGGAATCAAATGCTGGCTGCTGATGTGAAAACCTCTTGAAAGAGCACAAGTGGCTTTCCTTGGAAGGAGAAGTACCTGTCAGCTCAGCCTTCTACTAGTGAGGTATCGAGCTCATTGGACAACTTCTCCATTAATGCACAGACATCTCTATCTTAAGAAGAACCTTCAGATCTGCAGGTACTTGCTGTGATGGTTTCTTTCTGTATGATTTCAATAATGCCCGATTCTCTTGGTATAAACACCTATGTGCTAACAAATGTCTAGTTAATAGGTTTGCAGCGCTGAAGCTCTCTGTAAATTTACATTATTCTCTTAAATGCCAGGTTTTGTGAGAGTGATTTTTTTTTTTTTTCTCGTCTTGGAGGGGTTTCTATTTTGTGACTGTGAGTTCTTCAGTGCAACTGGATTGGTGAAGCAGTACCTGGAGCTGCACCGAGTGGGGCTGGCTTCATGGAGGAGCTTGAATGTGCAATCTACTGCCCAGTCTGCAACCACAGCTCACCCTTCCAGCTCTATTGGGTGGACTTGTGTTTTGTTTCTTGGTTTTTTTTGCTCTGCCCACCACCTTCTGCATTTCTCAGGTGTCCTTTGATACAGGGCACAGCTGCACAGGATATAGCTACAGGAGGATTAGCACTGCAAGTTTCTCTTTCTGCATGCAGTTCATCAGGCTTTGGTTAAAGAGGCCCAGGGACTGAACACCACAGTATTTGGGGTTGATGGGGAGGTGGGACCATCTCTGGAACTGAGTTAAGAAGCTGGGGATGTTTTGTCTTGAAAACAAAGGAACCCCAACAAACAGCACCCAGTCAAACAATGGAAACTCCTCAGCCCCTCGTAAAAGCTTGGTTTACTGGTATACCACCCTCAGTAATCTTGGCTGTTCTGAGCTTTGCTGTGCTCTTCTGTGGTTATTTTCGATGGGAATTCAGTGCTGCTGTTGCTTGGCATGTTCCCACCTGCATCTCATAAGTGTGCTTTTGCAGGGAATCTGCTGGCTGCAGTTCGTCTGGGATATGGCTTTGTGAAGTAGTAAATTTTCCATTGCTTAATCTAATTTGCTAGAGAAAAACACTAGTGCAGGGAAAGGGGAATGTGTTGCTTCACCTTCCAGAAATGTCATTAGAGACCTTGATCTTGTTACAGCCTGTTCTGTGCTATTACTTGTAAGAACAGTAACATATAAGGATTTGAAATATCTCTGAGTAAGAAAGTATAAGGAAAGAGCAAAGTGTCAATGGCAACAGACAGCAAACGGCTGCATTAAAGGGAGGAAATGCTTGTGTCAGCCCACTCCCTCAAGGATCAGATCTCAGCAGGGTGAATTTAACCCTCATTGCTTCTGTAGTAGATTAACTGAGTCCTGTGACCCACCTCTGAGGTGCTCCTCGAAACAGGCACCGAATTTCTTTGCTCAGTATGGCTTTAATTGCATCGTATCCAAAGTTCTTGTGTTGATGATGATCCCCTTATTTCTTGTCTCGGGTTTCTCCTGCCTTCTTTGGCATGCTTGACTGCATGTTGCTTCCTCCACGATGATTCTCTGTGAGAATCTCTACACTGAAGTCCCAGGCTGCGACTGCTTGAAGTGCTTAACTAAAAGCTTTTTCTGCCAAGGTGCAGCATGGCCCCATCTCTGTGGGATGATGTGGGAGGTTGGGCAGCTGAGATCCCCTGAAGAACCACCCCTGGGCTGCCCAGCGTTCTTCAGCTGCAGGCTCATTTGGAAATGGCATTTCAGCACGAGGCTGGGGCTTAATACATCGTTCATTGTCTACAGCTAGTGGTGCAACCTAAGTTCAGCAAAGTAATTAGGAGAAATAATTAACGCCCCTCAGTGATGAAGCAACGTCTCTCCCTCACCTTGCCAGTGACTCAGAAAACACAAGAGGACGTTATGAATCAAAAAAAAAAAATAAATTAGTTTTTACCTGTAATTAACTGTGCACGCAGAAAGGAAAACGTGGCAATCAAGCAGCAATTGATAGTTGCTTTACTGTAGGAGGATACACCATAATCAAACGCTCATGGCAAAATGTCCCTTTAAGTTGTGGTTCCTTTATAACATTTACTTCAAACAAAAATAAGTCTCTACAAAAAAAAAAAAAAAGAGAGGATTTGAACCGTACGCTATACGGAAATGTGTGGATAAGACACTGCCCTCCTTACGCACCGTACGCCTAATGGCCCCTGTGTTCTCTGTAAGTGCAAGAAAACAAAACCCGGCGATGAGATACAAAATCAATGCAGCAACTAGAGCTGTAGGCAACGGTATGTGAGCAGCCAGGCCCGGCTGGCGGCGGGGCTGAGCAGCGGGATGGAGCAGAGTCCCCTCTTCCCTCCCTCCCTTCCCCTCCTTGTGGTGCTGCGGGACTCTGATGTTATCATGAGAGTTTTTTTTGAAACGGGACACTAAGAGGAAGGGAAGAAAAAGAACACCCCAACCTATACCAAAGTAAATAAATCATAAAAAAAAAATATATATTCTCCCTTGGATTGCGGCACTATGGCACCAGGGCCCCGGGTCGCCCTGTGCGGAGCGGGGAAGGAAGGACGGCCGTATCCGCGTGGCTCTGCTGCAGTCCCTGCTCTGCTGCTCAGCCATCAGCTCTGCGCTGCGGCCGCCCCGCGTGCTTCCGTGGTCAGGATTGGATTCGGCCCTGCTTTTCAGCTGCTTGAAAAGTGGCTGAAAGACGTTGTGCAAGTCCTAGCGTGAAGGAAGGCAGAGGAGCTGGTGGGGAGATCCACCATTGCTTTGCACTCCCTGAATCCTCGGTGCTGTGCCTCGGCTGGGCTCCCTCCTCCCGGCTCAGAGGTCAGCCCAGCCACGCAGCTGCAGACCCAGCGCGCTGAGGAGGACGGTGCTGATGGCGGCCCGTGTGCTGGAGGCACCATCACAGTCCTTTTTGTCAGCTTCGCACCGTGACTGCTGGCACAGGACCCCCTTGAAGCCCACGGGGCAGATGCAGCGCTGGTTCTGGTAGCAGGTGCCGCCGTTCTGGCAGAGCAGGAGCTCGTCGTCACAGACGTTGGCTGTAGGGAAGGAGGGGTGGTGGTGGGGTTGTGCTGCGGGGCGTGAAACCCCTCGGGCGCAGCAGGAACCAGAAAGGTTTTGGTTTTCTGCTTTGGTTCCGAGGGGCTCCATTGTCAAACCCTTACAGAGTGAGACCGGTCCCAGTGCTAGGAGGACAGATTTGGGGCTGCAGACTTCAAAGCTGCTTTGGATTTGAGGGGAATGACCGAGCTCAGCCCTCACCGTGGGGTGGGCAGGAGACAGCGCTCCTTGTTGGAGGTCTCCACCTCTCTGGAAGTGCCACCCCTTGTGGGACACCCCTTCCTTCACCCTTTCCTCCACATTGGAGATCCCTTTCTCATAGGCAATTCCCTTGCCATTGGACTCCCCCCATGCCCACCTCCCTGTACCCTGGCAGGGTGGCTGCCGGCTACTCACGGAAGCAGCCCTGTCTCCAGTAGTAGTTGGGCAGGCAGTCGTCGCACTTTGGCCCCGTGGCTCCTTCCTTGCATTCACAGTAGCCGGTCTCGTTGCAGCGGTCGTGCAGGGAGCCGATCTGATTGCAGTTACATTCTGGCCATGAAGACAATGCTGTGAATCCTCACCCTGCCCGCAGGCTTTGTGCCTCCTCGTGCCCCCATGGAGGGGGCTGGGGACTTTGGAAAGGCCTGACTACGTGCCATGGGCTGGCCCTGAAGGAGCGCGTGGCTGCCTGAGACCACCCTCACCGTGGGCAGCCCCTGCTGCAGCAATGTATCTGAACCCAATTGATTATTTGGGCTTTGGTGCCCACGGATATTATTTTTGGCTTGGTGGATTGCATGACCCTTAACAGCTGCTGTCCTCTGAGAGCATCCCAGTGGACACGTTGCCCTCAGAATGGGCTGAACCGAAGCCCATCTCACAGCACGGGTCCCAGGCCCACTGCTGCTCCTGAGGCAGCACGAGTGCTCACCTATGCATACATTCTCATCATCCAGCTCTGCCGAGCTGTTGCGGTAGAAGCCCAGGCGGCAGTGCTGGCAGTGCTGGCCCCGCGTGTTGTGCTTGCAGCTCACGCAGGTCACCACGTTCAGGAAGTCGATGTAGCTGCAGCGGTTGGAGTGGCCGTAGCACTCACAGTCTGCAGAGAGGAGGAAAGAGAGAGAGGTGGGCCGTAGGGAAACCTTCTGCTCCAACAAAATGCAATGGTTGCTGCCTGTGGGGCTGAGTGGGGGCTGTAACTCACTGCTGCGTGGGGGTTGGGTTGGAGGTCTTTGCTCAGAGTGGGGCCAGGGTGGTTTGTCCCTGCAGGGTAAGGACAGGCAGGAGCCAGCCCCAGGACACAGCTCTTCGGGGAAATGCATAATTACAGGAGCAGCCAGTGGGCTGTGGAGTGCTGTCAGGTGTTAATTAAAGAGCTGCCTTGTTAATCAGTAGAGCCCAGCTTGATGTTTTGGAGACGGGAGAGGTGTGGGGCTATGCAGGGGCATGCAGAGCTCTGGGGAAGACTGTGCCCTGCCTGGTGGTGACAAGGAAGAGCTGGGACTGGCAGAGGAGGTGATGGGCAGGCTCTGGATGAGTGGAACCTGCTGCATATGCAGGTAAGTCCTGGCTGCTTCTCTGGCCTTTTCCTCATGTGTCCCTTCTTAGCGTGGCCTTTGCTGTAGTGCTTCCCCAGGCAGTGCCTGTAGTGAAGCGTGATGACTCTCAGTTCTGGCTGAGTGTGTTATGGCTTAAAATGAGCATGTGCTAGGATGCACGGCTTGTGTGGGCTTTTTCCAAGGGAGGGGAGGTGACCCAGCACTGCCTGGCATGGCACAGAGCTGCCATTGCTGAGCAGAGTGTTGCTCCTGTCCCCACTATGCTGGGCTGACCTTTCTCAGCTGTGGGTGTATGTTGAGAAACAACCACCTGGGTTTAATTCCTAGCTGGAAGAACTTGATTATTTGCTTCTTGTGTTTGCTTTTTATTACTGCATCGTGGGATGGCGATCACCTTGCAGTACTGTAGTGCTGTGTTCAGGGTAATGAATCTTTCTGGGAGCTGAAGAGGACAACACAAGAGGAGGGGAGAGTCCTTGGCTGCACAGTGGCACAATCATCCTGCTCAGGAGGTGTCCCAGCCAGCTGGCAGGGGACAACATGAGCAGGGATGGTGTCGGGCAGGTCTGAGCTTCTCCAGTGCTGGAGAGGTGGAGGTGGGTTCAGATCAGGGGTTTGGGTCCAGGCTCCCACATTAAACATTCCAACATAGCAGAGCGATGGCAGGGAAGCACGGGCAGGCATGCATGTGGGGCTGCAGGAAGAGATTTATGCCAATGAAATGAAGACCAGGGAGGATGGAGCATGGCTGAGGTTTCCCCATGGTTTGCAGCTGCCTGAGTAGGAGCTGAGATCCTCTGTGAAACAACAACTGCCTGCCTGACCGATATCCAAAGAACTTCAGCTCACGTGGTTCTGCTGCTGCAGTTCACAAGCAGCATTTCACCCGAGGTGTGTGATCTTACACAGAGCAACCCTCCCCATCTTCTCCATGTCTGAGGCTGCAGCTCTGGCGAGGACTGGGAGCCCTGAAGCTCCTCACTCCTTCCTCTTACCTTTATATGTTTCAATAGGAGCCAGCGGGCCGGTGTCTGGTTGGAGCCGGATGAGTTTTGAGTTCTTTGAGGATGCTTAAGGAAAATCAGAGACAGGCTTTTTCTCACTGCTCTACACCGCTTTGCGTCCTACACTACCGCGAGCATCTCTGCTATGAGAACAATGATGAGCCAAGTCAGGAACACCGCGCTGGCAGCGTTGAAAGCTATTTCTGCACCAGACAGCTGGTAGCTGCTAAATTTCTCCTCTTCTTTTCCCCTCCTCAAAGTTTGATGCATGAAAAATTCCATGCACGGCAGTATTGCAATGCACAGAGCTGAGTGCTGGGCAGAAGGAGCCATCCACGCGTCCCCTGCTTACACATGGGGTTGGCTTGGCCAGGCTGAGGATCTACAGGTCTAAAGAGCTCCTGTCTGCGGCCTTGCTTTGATGACGGCCATGCAGACAGCCTGTCACCACCCTCAAAAAGCAGCTAGGACCACAGCTAAGAGCACAAAAGCTACGGAGGTGGTATAAAGCACAGAATCCTGCAGAACCCAGGCTGCTCCAGCCCTCTTGCCCATCCCAGCACCTACCTGACTTCTTCCCATGCCTCTTGCCTGCAGAGTGTGCTGTGCGCCCTGCTTTGTTCTTCGGAGCTGCTACGTGAGATGATAAAATATATCTGAATGCTGAGGTGGAGACACAGAGCCCCCCATGCTTGCTGTGCAGGGCTGGGTGGTGGCTGATCCACCAGGAGAAGTGGCTGCCCATGGCTGAGCTGGTGCTCATGGGACCCCCAGTGTATCTTCCGTGTTCTCCAAGTGTGGAAAAGGCAAATGGTCTCTCAAGGAATGGTGGATAGGGAAACTGGCCCCTGGTTTCTCTCACCTGTCCCACCCATCCACATCTGCCAACCCCAAAAGAGCATTCAGAAAGACTTCTATGGGGTGGAATGAGCAGAATTGAGCTGATCTCAATACGAGTGGGGGAATGGATTGCACAGTGCTGGGCACGCTGAGGATGGGCACATTTTTCCCAGCCTGTGGGCAATGGGGGAGAAAACAGACCTGCTCCATCTCTGGGAAAGGGCCTTACCTCGAATGTTCTTGGGAGGGTCTGGTGGCTTCAGCTTGGGTTCAGGTGCTGCTACTTTTGTTGGGCTCTGAACAGCTTAAGGTGGCATCAGTTAGAGAGAACATCAGATTTAATACAGGTCTTGCACTTGCTTGCTTAAAAAGGAGAGAAAAGGACACTGGAAGCTCTATTCAGGTATCTAGGGTGGGTTGGTGGAGCCATGTGTGGTTGAGGATGCAATGGGACATGTATGGGAGACAAAATCTCCTGGAAATTGGTCTTCTAGTACAGAAGCTACTCCTAAGAGGAGCTGCTGGACAGATGAGTGTTGACATGTGGTCACTGCATTGCATGAAGCATGGAGAGAAGCAGACCTCTGCCAAGACTCAGGAGTCCCCATTGTTCAGTACAGACCGTCAGCATCACCTGGCATTGGTGCAAATGGTGTTGGCCTATCTTATAACTATTTCAAATACAATTTTTTCTCTCTGTGAGGTTAGAGACAAACCCAAAAGCACAACAGTTCAAACAAGCCTGAATTCCAGCACTTTCTGTCCCCCATTCACTATTAGCAGATGCTGGGTTGTGTCCTGGCCTGGCTCCAGCTGGTGTTACATTCTGCACTGGAAGGGATGCTGGTGTCTATGGGGGAGATAGCTACAGGCATCTCAGCTGGAAGAAGGCAGTGAGCACCACCAGCAGCTGCCAAAGCATGTGTCAGTGGGAGCCCTGAGGAGGAGGCACTGCAGCCCCAACAGCCTCCCAGGGCTCCCACCAGGAGCTTCATAGCTCACCGTAGGCAGACACGTGGGAGACCCGAAGCAAGGAAATATGTAAGAAGGCATCTATGCTATAAACGACACAAGCCTATCTGTTTACAAAGTTATTCTGGTCTCAGGAGACAACAGGATTTCCATGATCCTCTCTGTTCACCCCAGCAGCAAGCCGAGAACAATCTCTTCTACCACTTATCATCCTCATCTTTCATGTATGCGACTAAACCCTGAGGCTCAATCCAGCCTCACCAGATTACCAGCTGCATGTAGGGCACAGATGAACCCCCAGCTTTTCCCAGGCGGGAGGAAGAGAGAGATGCATGGAAAGAAGATATGCAGAGCTACAAAGGAAAGAGGTGGGAGCAGGGATTGGCTGGCAGGACCCGACTCAGCCGTGTATCTCCTACCTTCTGCTGCCCCAACCTTGGCTGGGGGAGAGCCCACCTGCAGCGGGGCAGCCGCAGACAGGTTGGGGTAGCCTGGCAGCAATCAGACAGAGAGCTGTGTTAGGAGATGTGCTGGGGGAACTGGGAACCAGCTGGGAGCTTTGCATTGGGCTGGAGGACAAAACCTGGCCCTGTGAGCACGTGCCTTGCAGGTTTTTGTGCCTCGGGTGGGATTTGGCAGCTAACATCCCCACATTGCAGTGCAGAGGACAGGAGGGGAGCAGTGCAACTGAGCTGTCGCTTCTCAGCCCTTCCGAAAGCACTGCTTTAGTTTTGTGTGTTTGCAGAGGAATATCCTACGTGTTGGAGGCACTGAGTCCTGATTTCTGCTGTTAACTCGGCCCTGCTTCAGGCTCTGCTCTTTCCTTGGAAATAGCAGTTACAGAATTTGCAAGCCCCTGCAGGGAAATTAAAGCAGCAGGGCATTTATAGATCCCTAGTTCGGTTTCTCTGCATGCTTTCAACCCCTCTGCTTCCATGCCCCTCTCTGTCTCCTCAGTAGTGGTAACAATCTTCAGGTTTGCTAGAAAACAAATCGAGGAATGCAAATTTAAAAGCCACATTATTAATTTCAGGCTCCAATTGGGTAACATAAGGAGGAGGAGGGAAAAAAAAAATTCCTCGATCCTTGCCAAGTTTCAAAGGACAAACCCGAGTAGGAGAGAAATGTGATTTCCCAGCCTCGTCAAGGGGATCATAAACAATGCAGAATAAAAAAGAATATATTTTTTCCCTAAATGATGAGCTCTAAGAGAAGGTGATAGACATTGTCCTTTTCAGCTGGAAAGTGGAAACCAATTGATATTAATATGCTGTTAAAGGAGAATATGAAAAAAGCCCTGTGCAAATTGGCAAGGGTTTAATTAGAGTCACAATAAAAAACAGCCCTGGAGGCATTTTGCTTTTTAGTCATTCGCATACACCTCCACTCACATCGCGTTTGCAGAGCCAGGAAAATTATTAATGCTCATTATCCTGAGAACTTTTCCCTTGTAGCTCTGTGACATTAATGGACAGTTTTACATTTCAGGAGTGGGAGAGAGATGCTTCACCCAAACCCGCTCCACACCAATGGGAGCACCAGGCACCTCCTGCTGGGCTTCTATGGCTCTGGTGGCAACACCAGGTCTTGGTGGGGTTTCTGGTGAGGCAGCAGAAAGTGAACCAAGAAGCCCTTCTTTGTAAAAAAAAAACACACTGGGGGAAGAGATGTTTGAAACAGTGCAGAAGTACAGGGGAAAGACCTTGAGAAGCCCTTGTCTTTCCCCAAGTGCACGAGCATCTGGGAGAGAAGGGCATAGGATGTGTTTGTCCAGCACCAGGGAGTTGGTAAAACCAAAGCTTAGGTTGGTTCTGTTTGTCCCAGAAGTGAACTGGCACTGCTGGGTTACAAACCAGTGGGGAAAATGGAAGCAGGAAAAGGGGAAGGAAAAAACAAAACAAAAAACCAAGAAAGCTCCTTTTGCTTATTTTGAATGTGGGGGAAAACGTAACTAATGGCAAGGCAGATTTGACAGGCTCCGGGGAAGACTTAGAAATAACAAAACTGTGGAAGACAAGGGAGAATGGCACTCAATTCATCCTCCTTGGGGTAACTGTTCTGCCCGTTTTGGCAGACCCCACTATGCTCAGACCACAGCCCGAGTCCTTGAACGCACTGAACACACTCCTTTCCCCTCTCACCACACAGCGGGCACAAAAGCATCCCAAGAACATGAGCACAGCTCCTCCTTGACCACAGAAAGCACCACGAGCAGCCAAAGGAGGCTGCTGTCTGCCAGATCCCCGCAACCCAGAGTCAACCCAACTCTGATCTGCCCCTCTAGTCTACGTGCCTGGCTGCTATCCCAGCGCGTGGAGGGATGGAGGAGAAGGGAGAACACATCAGTCTGGCTGGAAATACCTGTTTTTTCCTCCTTCTCTTTCATGGGCAGAGAGGCAGCGGGCTCAGAGGCAGGTCTGATGATGCTTGCTTATGGTGGGAAGCAGAAATTCAGAGGGTGAAAAAACAGCGTGTATGTTAGAGGGGGAAACAAGACAGTGATGGGACATTGATGGGACCTGGGGGGAGGGGGAGTATTATGTCTGTCTGAGCTGACTTTTAAGTAAGGAGGAATTTGTTTCATGCTTCTAAAATTGAGGAGAGAGGCAATGACAGAGGATCTCACTTGGGATTGTTACCCATCTCGGGGTTATTGCGTCTCCTGCAAGTGGGTCACCTTTTTTTAATGAGGTGTTTTCCCTGAGGTTCAAGTGAGTTCCATTCAGAGCCCCTTGTGGTATTTAAAGAAGTACTTTACATTTTGCAGGGCTGGAGTGGGAAGATTATCTCTGGACATCTCTGGAGATTGGGGACCAGATTCCCTCTATGAAGGGACCATGAGAGCTGCAAAACCCCAGCCTGAATCTCCTTTCCTGCACAGAGGTAAGAACTGGGGGCAAACTCTACACTCTTAAGCTCTAAAACAAATTAGGATTGGGCTGTGCTTTGATTCCATATCAAAGACACAGTTCTGGGGTGAGACCTGGCAGTGCAGAAAAACAAACCAGGGCTTGGATGGAGATGATCAGCTCAGCCCTGCCCCTGTAGAGGCAGAGATGTGGTGGCTGTTCCACGGTTTACATTTCTTTATTTACTTATTACCTGGTGCTAAGGGGTGATGTGAAAACACTACGAGGGCATTGATTCTATGCAGGGAGAAGGGATAACCCCCAAATCCAGGTTGCTCAGAGCAGCTTGGCCCTTCATCCCCAACACTGCGCTGTTGCCTCCCTGCCCGCCCCAGATGGACAAAATCATATGTGAGATAGGCACTAAATACACCACCCACGTACACACAGCACTTGCAAAAAAAAACAAACAATAACAAAACTAGGCCTAAAATATTGCTGTGAGTGAGCATGGATAAAAATCAGGCGACCCCAAGTGTGTGGTTCCTTCCATTGTGGACATAGTGGTGATGGGAGCACTGGGTGGCCAACAACCTCCCCATGCATACTGTAGGTCATATATATGGGTGAAGAGTGCTTTTGAACAGAGAAGATTACCCAGAGTCTGTGGAAGTGGAGATAAACCCCCAGCTTCCCGAGCAGGGTACCTCCCTGTATATAGCTATATATTCATAAACATGTAATCAAGTTTCCTCATCCCTTTGACTGGCTTCTGGCAGCTCCCCCAGACAGACTGTTACTAACATACTGTGGGTGTAAATCGTCCTCCTGGGAAATATCAGGCCCAGAAAGCATGGCAATGGGAGGAATGCGTGTCTAATTCCCCCATGAGAAGCTTAAAAAAAAACGTCCTGCTGTTAAGTTTTATCTGCTCATTTCCAAAAGAAAAGTGAAAACGATGTCTCCTTGTTCGCAGGGGAGGGGAGGAGGAACCCCAGGAGAAAACACAAAAGTTTTCCTCCACGGGGTGATTGGAGAAAATAGGAAGGGGTGTTTGAGGCGCGTGCGAGCTCCATTCTCTGCCCTCTATTTGTGCAGAGCTGCTTGGGGATTGTTGGCGTGTGCCAGTTCTCTCTGAACGCCTGCCCTTGAGCAGGCAGCCAGCCTGCAGCTCAGCCCTTGAGCTGGGACTTGAGGCAGAACTTGGAGAGCCACTGAAGGCAGAGCCAGCCCGCTGGGGGAAGGAAGGTGAGCACAATCCTCTCCCATTGTGCCTTTTTGGGGGGGGGAAAAAAAAAAGAAAAAGGAGGAAAAATAGGGAAAATTGTTCCTTCCTGCATCCAGTCCTGGCTTCTTCCTGCTGCCCTGATAGTAAGAGAGGGGGATGTCAACCCACTGCGTGGTCTTGGGCTCCAAGGTGGACCTGTAACTGTTGGCTTCATGGTTGGAGGAAACATGGCACCTGCTCCTACTGCCCTGGGACTGAACAGGGGCAAAGCAAACCAGGTCTGCTCCGAGGTTGAGGGATGTGAACCCGTCAGGCTGATTTTTATCCATGTCCCCATATCATCCTAGAGCACAGAAAACCCACAGCAGTCCCCACGCGTTCTCCAGCACCGCCAGAGGAGCCGGGGTGAGGAAAAGGCAAAATGAGGAGCGCAGGAAGCATGGCACCAACCTGGCTGGGTGGTGGTGGAGGCAGGAAGGGGGGTGCTGGTGGTGGTTGTGGTGGTGGGGATGGTTTTTGCAGTGGTGGTTTTTGCAGTGGTGGTTTTTGCAGTGCTAACCCGCTGCGGTCGCTCAAAGGCTATCAAAGAGAAGAGGTGGGAGGCACTTTACTGCAGGGCACGGAAGGGTTCTCTGCCCCCCACGAGCTGAGCTGATGACTGATTTCCCAACACGGTTCCAACTGGGGCACTGGGAGGTTTCTGTGGATTAAGGCTGTGACGCTGGGAGCGCGTGCATGCAGGGCTGGAGGCTGTGGCTCTATCAGCTTACCCCGTTGGTGCTGATATTAGCTTAAATACTTACAGCTCTATCATAAACTAATTGCCAATTAAACTTGAAAAGAGGAAAAGAAAGCACGCCCTGTGCACAGGAGAGAGCAGGATGGGCTCCTGCTTGCTGCCATCCTCATGCCAGATGGCAGAGCAATGCTCACCCCAGCACAGCTTCCTCCCAGCACCCCAAATCTGCTCAGCACCAGCGACATCGACCTGTCCCACTGCCATTTGTTCCTTCCCAGTGGCATCTTCCACTCACCAGGGCAAAGGAACTGCTGTCCTGGCTTCAGCACAGCGCTGGGTGTGATGCCCATTGCCTGCCACAACAGCAGGGACCGAAATAACATGTGGAACACACATTCCTGCTTAACTTACACCTGCTGCCCTCGTGTCCTTGTTTGTCCCACTGCTTCATGCAGATTATTGTGCTTAATTTCATAATAGCCCTGAGCTAGTTTAAATACTTAATTTAGGTCACTTCTAGTCTCCTATGCAGGCTAAATAATCTCTCCTTAACTGGCCTTGGATACAAATCCCTCCTGTCTGCTCTCTGCACATTGCTCTAAGCAACACCCCCAGCTTCATCCTGGCAGAAAATTTTGATGGGAAACATTTTCCAGTGAAACAAATGCAGAGCTGAGAATGCCAGGCTGCGTAAAGGGGAAGAAGGGTTGCCAAAATGTTTCTGATCAGAAAAGCAAAGAATGTTTTGGATTCGTAAAGCATTTTTTTTTTTTTTTAATCCTAAATTACTTAAGGGAGACTTTTAGTTTCTATTTGAAAATTTCAAATCAAATTACTCTAAATATGGTTCATTTACCCAGGAAAAAAAAAAACAAAAACTATTATCCAGCTTTCAGTTAGGTGCATTTTTCTTAATTGTATTTGAAGTTACCTGAAACCACTTCTCCTCCAGTTCTTTCCACTTGCCTGCAAACTGAAGAGCTCAGCATTCACTCAGCTCTATGATTTGTTTCTTTTGGAGGGCAATGCTGAGCCACGAAACTCAGAGCCAAGCTACTGCATCCCCCAAACTCAGGGCTGTTTGATAGCAAACTACCTCCAGCTTTGTTAAATAAGGACTCCTATTATTCCATCAATCTATCAAGAGAAATCCCTACCGAGCTCTCCTCTCTTTGCTGCAGACACTTCACAGACATATGTTCACACACACACGTGTACGTACAGACGTACACACATTGTATGTGTTTTTTTTTTACAGGTAGCCCAAGGTGACCCAGCCTGGATGCTGCGCCAAATAATTCAAACCCAGCTCCTTCTTAGAGCAAAAGTCTGCAATACTGGGGGGAAAAGTTCACAGCGAGCAGTGGTGTTTCTGATGAGTCTTTTTTTTTATTTCCTTTCCGGCTGCCATTCTAACGAACCTCATGGGGGGAAACCATGCCAGAGGAAGAGGCAAAATGAGGCTGCTGAAGTCAGAGGAAGAAAATATAAGACTCTTTGACAGGACAGAAAATGAGGAGCAATTAGGGAAGACTTATTGCCTGGAAAATGATAATGGACAGAAAACAACCATTTTTTTTTTCTTTTCCTAGTGACATCCGCAAGGAGCATGCAGCGAGGTGTTAAATGCCAGCATTTCAGTTACGTTTTTACTTACTGCCAAAGGCTGAGCCTGCAGCTGCACCTGGAAAAAAACAAGGAGAAGCACGGTCACTGGGAGCAGGAGATCAAACAGGTGCACGGAGTGGGACCAAACAGCCATTAGTCGGCAGGGGCCTTGCTCACAGTCAAATATGTCTGATGCATCATCTTAAAAGCTGCTTTTGTCAAAGCACAGAGGAGATGCACAGGGTCTGATATCACACGCCTTTCTGATGGCGTAGAAAAACCATCTTGGTCCTGGCTGAGAGGTTTTCTGTTAATCTTGACCTACTATTGATGCCCAGTGAAGGACAAGCACATCTTGTGAGGTTCCCTGCGCTAAGTGTGGGTCTGGACCAGTTTGTAGCATCCAGGCGGTCCTCAGCGGGACAGTTTCAGTGCCCTTCCCACAGGGGGCTGCAAAGCCACGAGATTTAAATCTGCCACCCGAAAGCCTCAGCTTGGCACAAACACGGAGCAGGGGACTGCTGGTGGAAGGCTTCCAAGAGGAGAGGGCCATGGAGAACAGTCCCTCTTGCAGAGGAAGAGGATGGTGATGGAGGAGAAGGAAGCACTAGAGAGGTGGGGGGAAAGAAGGAAGACTGATTGACAGATGGGAAGAGAGATGAATGGGAGAAACAAGAGCAGAGGAGAAAAAGAGATAGGAAGAGACACAAGGAACAGAGGGGAGGGAAAAGGAGAGAACAGCATGTCTGTGCCTGTCAACACCAGAAACTTTCCCAGTCTCCTTTGAAGCGATGCAGCCGCTTGGTGGTAGCTGACAAGCTCGTTCCCTTTCAAAGAACCTGCTCGTCTACCATCCCTGGCACACACAAAACATTCCCGTCACGGCCTTCGGAGCCTGGATTTCAGCTTTGATCATCTTAAAGCACATAAATCTTTCAAAAAAATTGGGGGGAGGGAGGGAAAAGATTCTCTTTGGTAATGCTCAAAGCTTCTGCTTGAAAGGCCGAAGGGGCTACTGTGGCTCTGTGACATTTAAACAAGTCTGTTGATGTGGACTGGATGGAAACCCAGAAGAAAGTGGCCCATCTGTGATGTTTCCTGCCCCAATTCCCTGGCCCGAAGGATGGTGGGTAGACATCCTTTCTCTAATCTGTGCACCTTCACTTCTGTCACTGCGTTGCTGCAGCAGTCGGATGAGACTGGAGCTGAGCAGAGGGACTGCAGCTCTCAGCGCCGCCTGTGATGCCGACGCACACAGAGCAGGATCCAGAAACCAGCCAGGATAGCTGCGGTGCAGCTCCTGCAGCCAGCTTCCCCAGGCTCGTGGGCTATGGCAAAGCCAAGGCTCTGCTGTGGCTAAATAATTTTCTCCACGGGACAGTAATTTACATTGCTACAAAGCCACAAACCTTTACTTTGGCCCATAGATCTAAACAAAGTCATCCTTGGACTCATCACTGACCTCCCACCCACCAACAGATCCCCTTTGTGGCCACTTGGATCAGTTCTCATTTCTCTGTGCAGCACAACACAGGTAACTACCCACTTCCCTTCTGAAAGCTGAGTTGTCTGCACTGCTTTGAGATGGAGGAGGAGGAGATGAGAGCTTGCTCCCATCCATGGGCATTGTGCAGGTTACTTACATGCATTGGGGGACCCGTTGGGGAGGGGCAGGTAGGATCCTGCTCGCCAAGACCTGGAGCGAAAGTTCTTCTTGCACTTGCCACAGTCCTGCCCCGTGGTGTTGTGCTCACACTCGCACTGGAGGCTGCCCTCCTTGAAGGTGCACAGGTTAGCGTGGAGGTTGCATTTGCACCTGGAAGAAGACGGGAGAGATGTCAGTTTTGCTGCACCTTGTCCTTGCCCCACTGTGTTTGAAAATGTAGAGGTGGAGCCGGGTTGGTTACAGCTCTGCTGTTCCTTCTGTAGTGTTTTTCTTCTGAACCCAGGGAATTTGGTGCTGTGGGGTTATGATACCCTGGATGGATCTGCACAATGCATTCTGAGATGAGAGATTCCTTAATTCTCCCACCCAAGTGTGGGAGCAGAGACCATTTCATGGTAAGACAGTCTCCATCCGAGACCCCAGGAATGAGTCCCCACGTTTCTATCACAGACATGCAGCTGTCAGCCCAGATGTAGGCTTTTACTTGGAGGCAGAAAGGAAGCTTTGGTTTTTCGGATGGAGGAGAGCAGTTAACACCAACATGGCAGTCCCTTGACCCCTGCACAGTGTTCTCAGTTCAAGAGTGTTTTTTTCTATGGTGTGAAGCTGCACATCAAAACCCTTTTTCACTTCGTGCAGTGCAACCCAGCCCACTGTGCCCAAATTAACGTCCAGGAAACGTCACCATCAGAACCTGCCTTGTAGTCAGCACCTCACTAGAGAAGGCAACAATGAAAAACACTATTCAGCAACCTGCAAACATTAACAAACTTTTAATGAGCTGTAGGCCAGTGTGCAGGGAGTAATTATCACCGTGCCCAGCAATTCCTGTTGCTCAGATTTGGGAGGTGATGTGCAGAGCACAGAGGCTGAGCTCATAGCTCACATGTGGTTTTGTCCAGCACCCAGCTCAGCCAGTTGGACAGATGCTGCAGGTACCAAAAGTCCTGTTTCATTCTGGACAGTGGATCCCAGCACATCGTGATGGTTTCTCACTGCTTTCTCCACTGTGTAATAATGTACACCCTTCAATGCAGAACCATTAGAAAATAGTGATGCTGAACCAGATGTGGATGTGTGGAGCGGTCTGACCAGGATGTGTTCTGCTTTGTGGGGCAACTTGCAGAGCTGAGGGAAATGAAATGCTTGCAGAGAAGCTGTGGGAAGAACAGCCTGTTTCTTCTTGTCCTCTGTCAGCCCAGGAATGGACGAAGTGGATGAGGCTGGGAGTTGTGCTTGGGTCTGTTCCTGGCTACAGGCACCACGCATGCCTATGAGCACTTGGAGCCCCTGAAGAGGCTCCCAGGCACCGTGCTGATGTGGTGAGCCCGCCTCTGCTGCCTCTGTTCATGCATGGCTGGATACACTGACTTCATGTATGATTTCTTTCCTTCCTCCCTCCCTGTCCTAAATTCTAGCAAACTGTGCTCAGAGGCTGAGCGTAAGCTAGGTGAGAGCATCCCCATAGCACAGCCCTGCCCAGCTCTGGCCAAGCAGGGTAGGGAGTTTCACAGCCTCTAAAAAGGAAGAAGAGAACGGGGCAGAAAATGGTGCCGGTGGATCAGGGGCTGGCACGCTCAGTGTGCTCCATTGGAGCCTGGAGCTGGAGGAGCTGTGTCAGGCTGAAAGCAGACAGCCTCCAAGCACCCACACTCTGCAGCTGAAGCACGCTGTGGCTTTGGGCAGTTTCACACCTGGGGATGATGCATTTCAGCTGCTCTGTGCCCATTGTGAGGACAGATTTCGGCAGAGCCGTCCCAGCCCTTTGGCAGAGGTGATGCCCGGCCATCGGTGCTGCAGAGCTGGGCTCTGAATTATTCAGCGTCCAGTGAATCTGGCCTCCTTCTTTCACTTCCGAATAAGCGAGCGGGAGGGGAGGAGGGAAAGAAGCAGGCAGAGAAGGGGGTTAAAGCAGGTCAGAGCCTCACTGCGGCCGCACCGGGCCCTGAAGCAGAGCAGCAGTGTTGGAGAGCCACAGCTGCCTCCTCCTGTCCCTGCACGGTGTCTGTTCCTTTGCCAGCGGATGCTGCTTTGCCGGAGAAGAGCCTCACTTCCTAATTGGTGTAAACAAGGAAAATTAAATAAAGAGCAAACACAGGCAGCCTCTCGCCCTTCTCGCCTGGCTCGCCTATTTCTCACTGCTCAGCCCATCACCGCTGTGCAGAAGTTTTGTTATCCAAAAGATCAATTTTACTGGGGAATTGCTTTCTGGCTTTGACCTTTGAGAATTCATCAATCTAAGCAGGGAACTATAACCCCAGTGAGCTGACCCCGCAACACAGCACTTCTCAGAGCAATCAATCAGGCTGCATTATTTAATAGCCAGCAGCTGGCCCAGGTTGCCAATCCCGTTTTGCCTCAGCCTTTCCGCATTTGGACTTCCCCGCTCTGCAGCTCAGCTTTAACCCCTTTCCCAGGCTTTCCTGCCTCCCCCTCCGGGCCTCCAGCCCAAGGACATGCTCTCGTTGCCAGTCTGTGCTCAGCATCGCTCCCCAGCCAAGATCCAGCTGGTAGAGACAGGAGAAAATGACATTAACCCGGTCCCCTGGGTGGGAGCCGCTCGTCCTGCTCGTCTCTTCTCTTCTTTCCCGGGCGTGCAGCCATCTCAGGAAAGAGAGGATGAAGGGAAAGGTTAGGAGCTACTTAGCAATGAGGCTTAAAGAGCAGCAGTGGGGCAGACACCTGTGCTCTGCAATGGTGAAGGCAGCAACGGCCTCAGTCCAGAGCTGACTCTGCTCTGCCTGCAGCACAGAGCTGAGCACGGGGTGCTCTGGAGGGCTGGCGGCTGTTCTTATTCTATTCCGTTTGGATACTATGGAAAAATTCTTCTCAGAAAGAGTGGTGAGGCACTGGCATAGCTGCCCAGGGAGTGGTGGAATCACTGTCCCCAGAGGTGTTCCAGACCCATGGGGATGTGGCACTGAGGGACGTGTCAGTTGGCATGAGCTGGGGTTGGTGTTGGGCTTAGGGTTCTTAGAAGTCTTTTCCAACCTTCATGTTTTGTTTCTATTCTATGGTTCTCCTTTCCAGCTCATGTCTCCAGACTAGCAGTGATGGCAGCAGTTCTTGGTGAGTATTCAGAGCCTACGTGTGGTGCAGCCATGGTGGGTGACAGCAAACCCAATGGGAACACAGCACCCTCGGTGACCTGGGGACACCCAGCTCTGCTGCTGGGAGGTGTACACAGCTGCCTTTTGCATTGCAAGCTCACACCACGCCTCAGCAAAAGTTGCCAGAGCAACATTTGGCCCAACACACTGCAGTTTGCACGATAGGGTATTTATGAGTTTATCCTTAGTGCAGGTCGTTCGGCTGCTGCCTTCCCTCCAAGTGGTGCAGAGTGGTTGGAAGCTGCCAATGCCTCCACCAGGGAACGGGAAGGAGTTTGGAGAGCCAAGGAAAGTTTACAGAAAGTGTCCTTCTTTTTTTTTTATTTCTTTTTTTTTGAGCCATAAAGAGCAGCTCTCCATCCCTGCGTTTCCCCACGTCAGCATCCTGGAGGTCACAGCAGCGAGCGGCTGGAGGCGTGTTGGTGCCAAGACATCAGGCTGCGGGAGCAGGCAGAGCCTGCGGGTGGGTGCAGGAAAGCAGCCACCTCCCCTGAGCTTTCACTACCAATGACTTTAGAAACGAGTTTTAAAAGACCTCTCAACCTTTTTCTCCCTTCCGAAGATCCTTATGTGTTTCACAACCGCTTTTCTGCCCATAGCTGCATTTTGAAGAGCGCGAAACTCAGGAACATCTCTTTGCTCCTTTCCTTCCTGACCTCCTTGCTTTGTGGGCAAGGACATGGGACAGCAGAAGCCACGATGGTGTGAGACCACCTCTCTTTCCAAGCCTCCCTCTGGTCCATCCCATGCAGTCATCTCCACCCTGTGCTCGAGGTGAGGATGCTGCTGCAGGTGGCCCAGGGATGCGGTGGAGACCTGGTCCCCTCCCACTGGCTCTCATGCTCTCTCTGATCCGTGCTCTGGGCTGGCAGTGGTGCCCCCCTGTTCCCTTTCTGCTTATCCGAGCTGGCATTGGGGAGAGATAGAACACAGCAGAAAGCTGCTAATGACTGCCATCCAAAGGAAGGATTATGATCGCTTTCCCCTGAATTGTTTGCTCTCACTGTAATTGATGAGCCTTTAATGAGTCTCATGGGATGTTGTGTTTGAAGGGAGCTCTTTCCTCTCCATCCCGGAGGAGAACGGTATTTCAACTGATCTCAGCTCTTGGGGAAACATGAATAACTCTTCCCCTCTCTCTATTGTCATCCCCAGCCACGCTCACAGCACGCTCTAGCAGCTGCCTGGCCGTGGCTCACCCACTTTTTACCTGCTCCTTTGCGACTGTTTTGGCAGCTCAGCAAAAGCATGGAGCAGATCTGTTGGGCAAAGCATGATGAGTGCTCGGCTTGGATTGCTTCTGGCCCATCTGTGCGTGCAGAAGCAAGGAAAAAATGTCAGAGGCACCATCTCTTGCTGAGGACCTCTTGGGCAGAGTGGGGCTGAAGGGGCCATGCAAACATAGAATGGGACAAATGTGGCTCATTTACCCAGGAGCAAAGCCAGGAGTGTAACTGAGCTGTGGCTGAAGCCAAACAGGGAGGAAGAGCCATCTTAATGCTCTGCTTCTTTCAGTGCAAAGCGGGGAGGGAGGCTTTGGGGTTTTGCTGCTTTTTGTAGAGCCAAAAAATGAGCAAGAAAGAAAAACGCCCTGGGTTAGGTCAGAGGGACGTGCTGTGAGTGGTTCCTTTTCCTTGCGGGTTTTTGCTTCTGGTTGTGTGGTGGGGACTGATGAGGGGAGGAGCCCTGCTCACTGCCCTTCGAAATGATTTGAGGTTTGGGTTGCAAAGAGGAGACAATTTAAAAGATGCGAAAATGGAGAGCGTGCTAGCTGGCTGTTCCCATTCAAGTGGCTATTTATTTGAAATAAGTTGACACTCACCAGCTGTCAGGATCCTGCTGACTGGTGGAGCATTGTTTACATTCAAAGCTGACTTAAAAAGGCAAACACTAAACCAAACTTCCCCATTAGGGGGTCAGGCAGCAGAAGGGAGGAAGGGTGAGGAGGACGTCGCAGGGATACATGACCGTAAATATTTGCAGAGTAATGTGTGTAAATGCTCTTGGTCTTTCTCCTGGAATGCAATAACACCTGCAATTGAGTTCATTGGCCAAATTGGATTTGGGCTCCTGTAGAAGTCTCTTTATATTAAGTGCTTTAACATACATCACCTTCTCAGTCTATCGACAAAATTCTATTATCTGCTCAGGGCTGGACACAGCTCGGCAAAAAAAAAACACCTGGGTGGAAATAAAAACCTTCACAAAACTAAGCAAGGAGCAGGTGATGGGACCTGGGGCATCTGCCTATTGACAGAGTGTCAGCAGTGCCTGGGTGCAGGGGGAGATTTGTCCCTAACTGCCTCGTTCCCTCCCAGCAAGCTTCCATGGGAGTAAAGCCCTTTACGAGACTGTAGGAAAGCAAAGCAAACAGTTGCTGTGCCTTAACTTAATTTAACTATATGACCAAGAGCAAGGTTTTGCTTGAACTGAAGCTAATTCCAGCCTGGGTGAGTGCCAGGGAAATTCATCCTTCCAGCTCTTGGGGCTGCCTGGCACGGAGATGAGGACGGAATGAGGACCGCATGGCACCGCTGGTGCAGGCTTGGTCGTCCTTGACACCAGGATGCTGTTACCTCTGGGGACTGGTGTGTGTCTGCTGGGGGCTGTGGGACAGAGCAGGGGTGATGGGGGCTGTGCCAAAGGTGCTGAGTGTGGGTGGGGCTGGTTGGGAGCTGGTGGGTCAGATCATGAGGGAAAGTAGAGTCACAGAATTGTGAAGGTTGGAAAAGATCACTCAGATCCCCAGGTCCAACCCCAACCCACCCCACTGTGCCCACTGATACGTCCCTCCATGCCACATCCCCACAGCTATGGTAGACTTCTGGGACAGTGACTCCATCACTCCCTGGACAGCTGTGCAACACCGCTCTTTCTGAGAAGAAATGTTTCCTGATGTCTGTGTAGCATGGGGCTTGTTTTGGGGTGGTATTCCTGGGCATGCCCAGATGGCAGAAGCCCATGCTTCACCAGATCCTGTACCCCCAGGTCCCTGCTATCTCCCTGCTGCAATGCAAAAGTTATGCAGCTGGTGGGTCCCACCTGGTCTTCACGGGAAGGCATTCAGTGGAGACATCAGTCATTATGCAGAATCTAAAGGGACTGCTTCAGAGTTTTGTGTCTATTGCGTGGTGATGAGTATCACTCCCTCCTCCTGCCTTTCTCCACAGACTGCTTATCACCAGCAGGACAGACAGACAGAGCGTGCACAGGGGCAGGGAGGACAAAGGAGAAAAATCTTAATAATCAGCCTGAAATTGATTCACTTCGGCTCGATCTGATTTCTCCTAACTGGATCCATGTGTCCCAGCCATGGCACATTAACTTCAATTACAGCTTATTAATGTCTCTGTGATGGAGCGTGCCCCACTGAGCACTGTGGTGACTGACGTTATGGAGGGGAAAAGATTACTCCAAAGAGACACGATGTGTAATGGAGACAGAATTCATAGCCCTCTGCCAGTCCCAGCAGACAGGATAAGCTCATCCACCTGCTCTCGAGAAAACCACTGAGCTCACTGCAGCACCAGGGAGAAGATTGGAACTGGATGATCTCTAAGGTCTTTTCCAGCCTAAGTCTATGATTCTATGACTCTACAATGAGCAGTGAGCAGAGATCTGTGGGGAAAAGCCCTTCCGCTTCCCTTACCCGCCTGCCTGGCACGCACACAAGCACAAGCACACAGGCCAAGGGCTTGCTCGTGTCTATTCCTGTCCTGACTCCTCTGCAGCTCCAGTTACTTTGCAGATCAATAGGGACAGGATGGAAAGAAAAAAAAAAAAAAAAAAAAAAAAAAAAAAAAAAAAAAAAAAAAAAAAAAAAAAAAAAAAAAAAGATATAGAAAAGACAGACAGTAAAAATAAACCTTCAGCCCTGAAAGGAGAAATGAACCACCCTGAGGTTGCAGGAGATGCAGACAGCAGCATCAAGAAGGGAGTGAGGGCCCTCAGGACACACTTCATTTTCAGGTCCTGCCAAGCTCTTGGGCCCCCACCGACTTGGCTAATGGAAGAAAGGAAGGCAGCGGAGTATTTCCCTTTTCTCCCTGTATCCTTAGCTCCTTCATTCTGCTTTTCTGCAAAGCTCTGCAGGGTTGTGGTGAGCAGTTTTTGTTGATGAGAAGCAGAGAGAGGTGAAGGATGAGTGTGCTTGGATGAGGTCCTGGGATGGCACTGCACCAGCATGAAGAACCACCCATTGCAGCCTGCCCTGACAGCAAAGCATTCTGCTCTTCCCTTCACTATGAGCTGCAACTGGAGATGGACATCTCTCATTGCATGCCATGGATCACCACTATGCAGTGCCATGCACTGCAGCCATGCACCACTTCTCCTCCATCCAGTCCTGGGCTGCTCCCATCTGCAGGTCACCAGCACCTCTGCACCCCAGCTGGGATCCTCTGGCTGTTTTTGCCTTTATTCATAATCATCTTCCCTCTCGTTTCCTATGACCTCAGTGGTGAATCCCAAACGACACATCCTTTCCCTTCCTTCCACAGTTTTCATTGATTTCTCCTCTCTTCATCTCAATACCCCACCCCTTGTTGGACCGCACACAAGATTTAATTTGGTCTTAGTCCCTGCACGTAACAGGCTTTGCTTATAGCTCAAATTAGATTGCTTTCCAGAAAAAAAAGAAAAAGAAAAAAAAAAGGCCCTGCTTGCTGGGACTGGAATAACCACCAGAGCAGAGTGAATTCATACAGAGCTGCTCCACCTGATGCACTGCTTATCCACAGCTCCTCAGCAACTCAGCACTGGGGGTTCAGCCCAGGACAGCCATCAACTCCATCCCTGTCCTAGAGACCTCCAGGACCCAGCCAGCAAAGCCCAACCCCTCTCCTCCCAGCCTTGGCAGAAATGCAGCATTGCAGCAACCACCGGACCTTTGCAACTTGATTGCACTGGCCCAGGGCTGTGGGTGGATGTGAAATCTCTGATGTCTCATAAGGGGTTGTGCCACCCCCACACCGTGTTCCTCTCCTGTTCCATTTGATTCTTTTCACAAACATTTGTTGGGGTTTTCTCTCTCAAAGCAATCTCTGCTGCTATAATAGGGTGAGGTTTGGACAGGGTGGGAAAGGAAGACACCTGACAGGCAGCAAGAGGCTCAGTTATGGGAAATCTCAGCACTGTAGCCAGGAATTAGAGATGCTGAAGTGACACCTTCTGCACAAGGCAGGCAGAAAAGGCAAAGTGATCTGTGGGGACAGGCAGCCGTGGGCCATCACAACCCCTACACTACACAGTAGCAGCTCTGTTTTACCACATATCCTAAAGCATCAAGAATCCCAAATATTCTGTGGACACAGCAATGAGTCCTTGGTTACCTGCACGGCACCTTCCAAGCTTAGAATCCAAAGGTCCTTGCACAAGGGCATCAGATATCACATCCTCATTTACTGAATGAAAGCTGAAAACTCTGCATCCCTATAAGAGCCCAAAGTCTGACCAGCCCCGATGTCCAGCCATCCACTCCAACCCTTCCTGTCCACTCAGTGCCGCCTACCAGACACTGCAGCTTTGCCACCAAGGAGCCACCATGCTTGGAGTCAAAGGGAAAGCAGTGTGCTGGCCTGGTATCTGCCTTTGCCTGCTTTGTGGCTGCTTGCTCAGCCCTTCCCGCTGCCCTTCCCGTCACCCCCGCTGAAATAAAGGGCTCTTCCATCCCTTCCTCTCCCTTGGAGCGCAGTCAAAGCCAGCCTCAGCGGCAGCTGCGGAACATTTCTGCTTGCGAGACTCAGAAGCAAACAGTTTGGAAGCAATACAAACGGCTCCTCTGTCGCTGTGGAGATTCTTGTTAGCAGTGGTGGGTGATGGGGAGATTTTTCCCCTCTCGCCTCTGAGTCTCACACAAGCTGCATCCACAAGCTGGATGGGAAATCAGCCATCTCGGCATTTTTCCACCTTACTTTGCTTTTTCGGTTGATGTCATAACATAACATATGGCATTGCACAGAGAAACGAGAAATAAAAAGCAGGAGAAACAAATCCCCTCCTGCCCAGCCCTGCCCCAGAGCTGGTGCTGGCTTTGGCCTCTCCCCAAAGCTTGGTGGCTGGAACTGGAGCTGAGCCAGGATGATCCTCCTTGGACCAATGGAGTTTAATGGGGAAAGCCTCATTCCACCTCTTCCCCCCCCCCGCAGAGGGCATCCCTGGGGGTGCTTCAGCCCTTCCCTGCAAGGACACATCCCTTTTCATGACAACAATGCTGCCCTGGCTGGGGAAAGGGGATATTAGAGGGAGGAACGCTGCTCATCTACCAGTTGACATCAACGCTGGTGGCTTAGTTCTGCATCAGTAAACCTCTTCTCATCCCTCCAAGAAGACAAGATATACAAAGAAATACAGCGGCCATTACCTGCCGGTGACTTCAATGTTGGAGACGGCGTAGAAGTACTTGTAGAGGTTCTCCCTCTGCACGTAGGTGCCCCCCAGCGCCGGTCGCAGCAGCCTCATCCTCAGGTCGGTCACGGTGAAGAAGTCCTTGAGCCCCTTGGCGCTCTCCAGCCTTGTGTACAAGTTGTCCATGTTCTTGAGGTCGGGGCCAGCAAAGATGGCGAAGCGGTCCCTCACCTCAAAGCGGACGGTCTTCTCCTTTTTGGAGCCCGCCCAGCGGGAATATTCCTCCGTGCAGAGGACCCTGTTGGCACTGGTGGTGGAGAGGTCCCGGACCCTCCGTGCTGGCATGCTGAAGGCCTCCATGCAGTCATCTGCATAATACTGGTACGGGTGCCAAGTCCTCCCGTTGTCCAGCGACTTCTCCAACATCATGATGGTGGGACGGCCGTACTCAAAGGTGATGACGATGTCGTCCGTCAGCTCGATGCTCTTGTTCCAGGACAGAGTGATGTTGGCCAGCAGCGGTTCCGGGTACCGGCGCCATGTCACACTCTGCCAATACGTGGCCAAGCCTTCATCCTCGCTGTCAAACATGAGCTTTGGTGGGTGGGCCAGGTCTGGGTTGGAGGCGTCGCACTCGTCGCTGCACAGGTACGGGTTCTCCTGGAACAACAACAGTGGTCACGAGAAAAGGCAACACGTGGGCATCCCTGCCAGACCCTACTTGTCCCATCCCAGTTTTTTGGTGCTTTTGGTAAATGTTGTCTGCCCAGCTGAGCTGAAGTATTGGAGGCCTGGCTCTGCATGGGTTCTCTGCCCTATGGACAGCTGAGCTGTTTCCTCTGATAGGCCCTTTGGGAAAGGGCCCTTCAATTTGACACAGGGGTGATTTTCATGGAAAGCACTTTCCCTGACACAGTCTCTAAGAAACTTCATTTCAGCTTGGCCAAGTTACAAGCCCATGGAAGGCCGTTTTCGTGCCTGCTTGCTCATAAGAACAAACAGCTCAGCCCCCAGGCACAGCTGCACTGGGCACGTCCGTGTCCCCAGTGGCTCCTAATACCAGTCCCAGGCTCTGTGGGGCCCAGCACCACTGCAGGAGGAAGCCCCATCCCCCATCCATGCTCAGGGCTCTGCAGAGAGCAGAGCTTTGTGCTCATTGCCCATGGGGATAGGCACTTTCCAAGGTGTGGTGCAATGGCAGAAATGGTACAGCCATCCCATTATGCCCACAGGTGATATGTGCTCATGTCCCCTTTTGCTCATATCCCCATCTCCTCGTGTCCCCATGTGCTGAACTGCACTGTGAGCGCACAGTGAAGGTCATACACACCGAAGTGTTAAAGGTTTGGAGGCACACATCAGGGTTACCTGGGCTGCTGGGTCTATTGCTCGTGAATGTGTGAAAACCCTTTGTGACAAGCTGGGGTCTCTCCTGCCCTTCAGCCCCTGTAGGGATGTGTTATAGCAAGCATCAACCCCTGAAAAACTCTGCATGGCTCCACGCTGCAAATCTTTGCATACAATGCATCTCTTTGCTTCCGTCTCAGACCCAAACCTGGGCTGTGAGTGCACCAGGTTCAGCTGCAGCCAATGCCTTATCATACAGGAGGTGATAAAGCAGCTGGAGCTGACTGAGGTTGATGCCTGGAGGTGAGCAGCCTGCAGAGTGGTGGGGTCTAGTCTGGTCATCCTGAGTACAGCACGTTAGCAAGGTAAGAATGAGAGCTGTTTTGTGGAGAGATGCTGCTTTGCCTGTGGTCCTGGCTGCGATTTTGCTTTGAGCTGTGAATCTTTTGAAACCCCAAGTGCTTGTGGTCTGCTTTTAGGGTATGCAGTGTGTGCCCTGGGCAAAGCAGAGGGTTTCTGGCTCCCATAAGTGGGTGTTCTCAGGTGCAATGTGGGGAGTTGTACCTTGAATGTGGACACTGATGTATGTCATGAGGTGCTTTGGAAAATCTGATCTTTGCTATCTCCAAGTAGGCTACCAAAGGTACTGGGATCTACTTAGAGCTGTCTGTATCCTGAATGCATAAAATGGGTTTCTTTGCCTCGACATGGCTCAGAGACACGTTAGGTGTGAGCAAGCAGAGGCCACAGTGCTGAGAAGCCTCCAAAAGCTCCAAAGGGTGTCAATAATTCTACCTTGGACAGAACAGCAAGCAGTTGAGCTGTGTGTGAGCACTGGGCTCTCTGCAGGTGCATGGAGCAGCAGCTGTGGGCAGAGGGGTCCTATAAGTGGCCAGTGCCTTGCTTGGTGTGAGGCTGCCAGGGGAGGCAGCTAATGAAAAGGGGCACTGTTCCCATCCCAAAACTGGGGGGATGCTGTCTGCAATGGGGGATGTAGACTGTGGGCTCTGGGCTGTGCCTGGTCCTCTCCTGCTGCAACACGCTGTGTTGGAGCAGGGAGTAAAAGAATTGGGTATTGACATATTTAATATGCTCTCCTGACTTGTCACGTTCAGAGGAATTGTTTACCTCTGCTAATGAGACACAGCTTCCTGCTGGGGGATGCGGCTGCCGCTTAGCACAGCTTTACGGTGGTTGATGGGAAAGGAAGAAAAATGCACCTCAGCTGAAGCTATGGGGGCTCTGAGTGCGCTTCCTGTGCTGAGGCAACATATTGTGCTGCAGTATGCTTCTGCTGCGAATGTGGTCGTACAAATGGCTTAATAGGACAGCCCTGAAAAGGCCATCCCGATGCTCCTATCGAGGCTTTCTTTTGGTAGCTGAGCTGCACAAGGGAAGGTGGAGGGGCTGTCCCTGGATGTTTTCTAGAACTGTGAAGGACGTTGTCAGTGGGCATGGTGGATTGGAGTGGGACTTGGTGATCTGAGGGGTCTTTCCCAACCTTAATGATTCTGTGGCGTTGCAATCAAACCACAATGACAAAACCTGGCCCAGAGCTGTGGGAATGGATGGTGACACGGAGTGGGGCAGTTCTGCAGGAGCAGCAAGGGGGAGCAATGGGGGTTTGATGAATGCAATGCGCCGTGGTGCAGGCAGGGAGGAACAGAGGGTGTCTCCCATCTGCTCATCCCAGAAAACAGAAAATGGAGGTGCACTGTCCCTGCTGGCTCCTGTACACCCAAACCTGTGTCTGCACATGGCTCAGCAGACAGCGAGCCCAAATTGGTCTTCAAGCACCCTGGGGTGGCACGTGGCTCAATTACTGCTCAGTTGTAACAGGGCAAGCGTGGAAATAACCTCTAAGTGACAGTGCTGGAAGTTGGGAAGAGCCTCAAAAGCCACCGAGTGAGTCATGCCACCATGGCTTCCTCTGCTCAAATGAAGTGTTCCTTTTTGGTTTTTGGCTTACTGAAATGTCCTTCCTCCTTGGGATGCTCAATGCACTTTCTGCTGGTGGGGTGGTTTCGAGTCAGCCGGGAGGGCAGGGGGGAGCGGAAACAGATGGCCGTAATTTGGCTGCTCTGCCGGTCCTGGTAAGATCAGTTATAGCTCTGTTGAAACAATTCCAGGTATTATTTTAGAATCTGGTTTCTTTATCCAAGCCATGTGTCCTCCAAAGAATCTGTCCAAAGTCTCAAGATATTTACGTCTTCAATCTAAAAGTCAGAATGCATTAGCTAGGGAAACTTGGTCTTCGTGCGCTTAAAATAAAGCAGCTCACTTAGAGTCTCACACTATTAAATCAGTCGTGAATGTCCTCACGACAACTGGATGCTGCAGATCCCTAGCTCTGGCTGCTCTTTTCTTGAGCACCAAGGAGTGCTGCAGGATTTCTTCTCCTGAGCTCAGCCCAACTGGCAAAGCCCTTGGGAAAAGTGGCAAAAGCTGAGGGCAGGGTGTCACAGCCAATGGCACCATGGCAAGGATGTGCCTCCAAGGAACAAACATCCTGGGGGGTAGAGATGGATGTCCCGTTGGGGGTGGCACATCTGGAGATGCCCCTGTGTTGGTGACTGCAGCCCACGGGTTTCATTTCCCATTTGTGCTCTGCGGAAATGCTGCACAAGGGTCCTTCTGAAGATGAGAGCAGGGATCTGGTTGGGGATCCTCCTAGGATTTCTTTGGAAACAAGATGCGTCATGGCACAAAGGGAATCCATGGTGCTGCAGAGGTGCTGCTTCCCACTTCGCCAGGAGAGAGGGAATGGGAAAAACAGCCCCAGTCAAAGCCTGCCTGCTTGCTAGGGCTCTTAATGAGTGCACAAAGTTGTTTTGCTTTATTTTCCTGGCAGATAATGCCATTTTTAAGCCTCATAGCATGAAATTATATATTTTTGTAGGTGAAATTGCTTGATTAATCACTAAGCTGTTGAATATTTTAAACAAACCAGACATCTGTTGTGAATGGTGGAAGCTGGGCAGAAATAAAGCTGCAGCTTTTAGTAGATCTCCATGCCAAAGGGAAGCTAGAAAGAAATTACAACCACTAGCTGCACCGTGAAGAAAACCAGTAGTAATATTAGTAATATTAAAGGGAGGAGGGGGGAAGATTTGAACAGTGAAAAATAAAAGGACAATGAAAGTTTGTACTGCTCCTGTAACCCAGTATGAGCTTTCAGCTGGTGCCTTGGCCAGGGGACCCCATGGAGCTGCTGCTTTGCTGGGTCTCCTCTGCTCGATTAGGTTGGTGCTGAGGTCAAGACCTTTGCTAGAACCCCGGTCACGCTGGGATCAACCTGTCTTTAATCACAACCAGTGTCCTAATAAGAATAATAGCAATGTCACACCAGCTTGGAGTAGCTCCAGATATCGTAACTTTGTGTTTTCAGCTGGAGTGAGGAATCCTTGGCTTTTCTCTAAGAAGATTTTTATCTGTGGGGAAAGAAATTAAATACATTTCTTGGGCAGAAAGGTCCATGCTGTCATGCGGTTTTCTCATGTGCTCCTCCTGTTGTGTTTTCCCCAAAAACTGACTCTCAGAAAGCTCTCAGACCTTGGCTGACTCCACGCTTTGTGCAAGAACAGGGGATGGTTGGGCAGCACAACCACCCCTTCCACCACCAGCAGCATTAAAGACCCTGGGAAGGGGCTCCAGCTCCCTGCGGGCTGTGCAGATGGAACAGCCCCAGGTGAACAGGTTCACCCAACAGCCAGGAGCTCTGGGCTGAATGTCACCTCCACCCACCCGCTGACAATCCTCTCCCCGCCGCTCTCCAGACATCTTAAGGAGCTCTCAGGTGCATCCCAAGGTCTTTCAGCTCCCTGCAGCGTGCCTATGACCCTGCCTTTGATTTTTTTCAGCTTAAAGATGAGCTGATTAGGTTTGCATTGTCCCCACGTTTCCTCCCGCGGCAACGAAGTGCTGGGGTTGGTATCAGATTTCCAACCAACCGACCCTGCAGAACGACCGCGTCGGCAAAATCCTGGCGTGCACCTGATTCCTTGCAAATGTCCCCACCGTGCTCTGATGCCACCGAGCTGCGGGTGTCCTGCAGACCACCTGTCACCAGTGGGACTGGTGGAGGACAAGTCCCCGACCCACAGCAGCCCTGGGTGGCAGCAGATGGCCCAGCATTGCTGATGGACACCTCCTGCACGGCATCTGCCGGGGGTGATCATGATGGGCGGAGGTGACATCCCTCTGTCCTCATCTCTCAGCGTGCAGATACCTGAAGTTTGATTTCGTGGCTCCCCGTGGAGCACAGCGTCGGGTTTGTCTGTGCTGTGGGATAAAGCTGGAAGGGAGGCTGAGGC